TCTTGAAACCTCCTCCAACTACCACAATTTACAACAGAAATCTTTCTTATCATTCAACAACCATCATCTTCAGAGACATGAGTTGAAATCCCCAACCTATATTCCAAGTAGAAATACTTGAGAAGTGAGGCAAAACAGAGGAAATTGTCAGTTGGAGGTCATCCTGGCTTCTGAAGCAAGTTGGGGGCCAGCCTGAGTTAGATGGTAAGTATCTACCAAACAAACAAACAAACAAAACAGAAAGCAGGGCAGTAGTGGTACATGACTTTAATCTCAGCACTTGGGAGACAGATGCAGACAGATCTCTGTGAATTTGACAACAATGCCAGCCTGCTCTACCAAGTGAATTCCAGAAAAGCCAGAGCTACACAGAGGAAACCCTGTCTAAGAGGCCAAAAAAAAAGGGGGGGGTGAGGAATTAGGAGTGAAATGCTGCTTTCCATAGCAGAAAAGAAAAGCACTTCAACCTGTGCTTCAGAATATCAAACAAGAATCCACTACTTATTAAAGGTCCAGATGGGAAGCAGGGGAGCCAGTTATAGACACAAGGACTACTGCAAACAAGCTATGCAATGTGGATATTTTATTGAACACATGCACTCAGCGTGCTCAGCCCTGGAAACTCCTAGAGGGAATAGAGGGATGGAGCTCTGCATCTCCTCAAAGGGGCATTTCTCTGTTGCTTTAATGGGTCTGTATACCACATCCATTAAGTCACTGAGAACTGGGGTCATTCTGGAAGGTTCATTCTCATCCTGTCCAACCTGTTGAACTTATATGGCCACAAAAGTCAGGATGGTGGGTCTGAGCATGCTTTTATATCATCCCTACCAGGAGCTCTTGTCGTCCATTTAAAGACTCAGAGCTCTCTGTTCAGTGGGCTCAGTAGCGGCAGCCTATTAAATATTGTTACAATGTGCTTTGGTTGTACCTGGTATACCAAAACTAATCCTTGACCTTTTTTATTAGTCACTTTCTCTTGAGATTCTCAGACCAAATTTTTCTTCCACAGGAAAATTCTATTTCACTGTGATAAAAATATCCTTGCCTTTTCTTCCCACCCACCCCCCAGCCAACTCGTCACATAATTTTTCCAGGCAATTCTCTTTCTTATAATCATGACCTGTTATGTGTCTACGGCTCTTCCCCTGGAATTTAGTCACAAGTGTCCTCTCATCAAGAAACATGGAAATCGCAGTGATGACGGAGCAAAGAAGGGCACTAACCTCCCCTATGAATGGAATCATCCCACATTCTCACCTCCAGCCCACCCACTTAGAAACAATGGCAGCCTTTCTGTCTGGCCTCCTTGACTCTAGGCTTAAGAAACATATTTCAATGGAACTGATTTTTGAGTATAAATCTGGAGCTTTGCCCTCAGAGCCTGACAGGAACAAATAAAAAGACAAACTATAGGTCTGTGGTTGACACAGCAGGGACTCCTATCATGCCATCGGCTTTCATGTTCCTAAATGTGCAAACTGCCTAAAAGACCAGGGTAATTGAAAGGCAGGCATAAACCTCTCTGGTTTCTCCATATTAGCTGAAATTGCCTCCTACTGAAGTTGCTTTCTGGCTTAGTATTCTGAAAGAAATACAAGCCATTCAGTTTCCAACAGGAGTGTCTAATTCCTTTAACCAGCCCATCATGAAGAAAAGTCTCTATGGACTGGTAGGTGACAGGGCTAACGTAGTGGCACAGTTATTCCAATCCCGTTCTTAAGATGGTTCTCTCTCTCTCTCTCTCTCTCTCTCTCTCTCTCTCTCTCTTTCTCTCTCTACCTTCCTCCCTCTCCCTTTTCCTTCCCTCCCTTCCTCTTACCCTTCCCTTCTTTCTCCTCCTCTCTTCCTTCTTTTCTCACCTTCTTCCTCTTTTCCTGCTGTCTTATCTACTCCTATATTAAAAGAGAATGAATAATGAATATGCCTGAAACATTCCATCATTTCTTCCAGAGTTTGCAGTGTCTTATCTCACCTTCAAGTGTATCATTTGATAGCTATGACACTGCCCTCACAAGTAATGTAGATGCTTAAGGCAAGTGCAATGGTTTGGCTGTTTCCACAAAGTAGTGCTATTAGCAATGGGAACCTGGTGGAAGGTTTATTGAAGATGTATCTTCAAAGGAAAATAGGTTTAGGCACGCCCTCTTTTCTAGATTTTGCTCCTGGAATGAGTGGTTTTGCTCTCCCATGTGTGCCTACAGTGATAAGACACCTTCATCTGCCCAATCTGTGGAGTCCATCAATTTGGGATTAGACCCTCCACAACCATAATAAATCTTTTTCTAATAAATTGATTATCTCTGGTACTTTGTTATAATAATGGGAAGATGGGTAATACAGAAGGCTGATGTATGTGAGTAAAATGTTGGGTTGAAGTATATATATATATATATATATGTGTGTGTGTGTGTACATATATATGTATACATATATATACATATAAAGAATGATAAGCAATAGTATCCAAACATCTAAACCTGATGAAGAAGTAGTAATGATTCATGTGCAGAGACGTCTACAGCCATATACTGGGTAAAGCAGGTGTCCAGTGCCTACAACCTTGAGCGTATTCTCCACAATTTGGTAAGTTATCATCTTAAATGGAGCTGAGGTCAGCCATCGGCTATGTGGCTATGAGGAGAGCCCTTACTCAAGTTATCTGAGTAGTTGCTAGACAACCCAGAGTTGTAGGGGTAATTCCTCAGACCATCTCACTTACCGTTCTGCACCCCTACCATACCACCATGGGACTATCCATGAATATTGGAGAAGTTACATGTGGAGAGGTTTAGATAGAGCTTGAAAACCCAGGGCACTGATAAACTGCACTTGTATTGATCAGCTGATAGGAACTGTATGAAATCACAGGAATGTCATCCCCAAATCCAAAGCTGCATGTCAGTAACTTGCAAAATCTATGTAAATGGTGGGTGAAGAGGCTCCCTAAAAGTAGTGAGAGTAAGTACCCATTTCCTCCTCCCATAGGTCCAAAAGAAACCTTGATTTCAACACTCTTTCAGCCTTTGAGGCAACATTCTGCCTTCTTTTAGGTAATCATTCCTGGGTCTGAGACAGAGAAAAACAGTCAGGAAGGGTTCATTCCTTTTACCTTTTATGTACTTATGATATAAACAGTTCCTTCTCGCTTTCCTTCCAGACTTCTGCTTACAGAGCTTAGTTTTGAATTTTCAAAACATCTTCAATGAGTCATTATCAAAAATAGCTTTATTGTTGAAGACCTGTCACAATTTTGATTCTTTGTGCATGTCCCTGCCTGGCATGAAGAAAGGTCAATAGGAATAAAAATGTTCAGCGTGGGGGAGGGGAACAAAATAGAATATCTCAAAATGCCAATGGCCAGCCACCTTCTCTTCTCCCACCTTTCACAGTGGTTCATCAGTCCTTTGTGTGTCCTCCAGGGAAGTTGTTGAATCTTCTTTCTCAAATACCTTAGCCACTAAATGTACTAATTTATGACCAGGAGAGTTTGCAATTCCAGGTATTTTTAGATTTTAGAATTTTGTATGTACATGGTAAGATATTTAGGAGACTAGGATCCAAATCTAAAGACAGAATTCCTACTTCACATAACCTGAAAGGTCATTTTATATAACATGTTTAGCACTTTGTGACCTGTCACTATGAGATCAGAGGTGGAATTTTCCACTTGTGGAATTTTTCCATCATGTCATCAATAGGTTTCAATTTTTAAATCATTTGAGAATTCGCATTTTCACATAGGAAGTGCTCATAAGTAGCTGCAATTTAACTCCAGACTAGACAAGTGAGTAAGGAAAAGACTGAAGGATGCTGAGACCAATCCTCCTAAACAGTCCTTTATCTGGCTCTTCTTTGAGTAGGGTCAACAGCCAACCCCAGTGTTGTCAAATGTATCCCAGTACCCAGCACAGAAAATGAAATCCACAGCACTCTTTAACCAGAACAGTTAACATGCTTAAATGTGATTGTTTTCAATAAATAAAACCTATCTCTATGTATCTTCTATGTATTATATCTGCAGCAACCCTCAAGGGAAATTCTAGTATAAAGAGCTAAATCTGGATCAATCATATCAAACACTATACACTTCAAAAAAATCTAAAGAAAGTGTCTTGGGTAAGTTTTCTAACTCTTAGCAACTTAAAGTTTGTTTGAAATGTATCTATCTGCTTCAAAAAAAATACAGGTAGTGTTTGTGTACATTTTAAATCCTATTTAAGCCCACACACTTCACCTTCTACAGCTGCATTTTATTTCATTTTTGGTGAAAGATGAATAAGAAATAAACCAAATGCCAACATTTCAAGTTGTGTACTTCTGGAAAACTCTAGAGTAGTAATCACATTAGGGAAGATTCTTGACTATGTATCACTCAATAGCTCTAGCATAAACTGATGCTTCCTTCAAAAACAGAGTGATTTCAGTGCTTGTATTTGACACATACTGAAGAAACCCTCCCAAGAGACTGAATCATATTTGTTCTCAGACAAGAAGGCAGATGGTGCCCCGTGACCACAGCATGATGAGTTCTGCTCTGACATTTAAGTGGTTCAATCTTCTGACAAGCATAAGGATCCCACATGTGGGGTTAACTTTGTAGGGCAAAGCATGACATTCCCATTCAGGATGGAGATAATTGCATCTGTCTATTTTTTTTCTAACGTGTGTAAGTGTGTGTGTGTGTGTGTGTGTGTGTGTGTGTGTGTGTGACTTCACTGAGGAAATTCAACCTCACTAATCAGGAAATTATGTTCTTTCTGTTTTCTTAATCCATAGGAGGTCCACTGGCCCCTGGTTAGGGTCAATCATATTAATAGAATCACAGAGATAAATTGGGGGGGGGGCACACAGGTGTCTCCATTCCCAATCTGTAATTTGACAGACAAAAAAAGTCAAGGACCAACACATTTTTTCCAAAAATTCACAAATAGCTCATGCTATGGTTTATATGTATTCTTCACACTGCCACTTGTAAATGAAAAAGGTGTGGAATGAGGTTTGGGAAAACAAAGGGTTTGTATACACAGGTGGCTGGACACAGAAGGGAGAAGTATATACTGGAAGGGAAGGAGAAAAGATGGTACCTTCATGCTGGGAAAGCAATCTAAATGCCAGTTTCAGATGTTTTAACTCAGCATCCATTGCCAACTAGATTCTGATGAAAAGGACCAAGGACCCCTGGGTCCTACTGGGCTTCTTCAGCACAGGGCTTGATGGCTGTGATGGAGATGCTCTGCCCTCTGCATCTTAAGATACCTGCCTCACACTCAGACATGGTCTCCTCCTTGCCATTCACGTCCACACAGATGCTGTACCCTGCTTCCTGGCACTCAGATGCTTCTCTGCAGATACATTTGCTGTTCTGAGCTGGAAAGAGTAAGTGGGAAAGACTTAATGGCACATTGCGGAGGTGAGAGACCCAAAGCAATAATCTCCTGCAAAATAATGGCATCATGATTAGAGAGCTCCTGCCCTGAGTGACGCAGTAAACTATATGTTGGAAGGGCAGTAAGACCAGGAAATGGGGCTATTTTGTTCCACTCAGAATAAATAGGCTTTGAAATTGGTGCCAGGCTTTCCACTGACTGGACACACATGAGGCAGGTCTATCCAAGTCAAGAGCTCTCCCTTTCTTTCCTCATATAGGCTGCCATCCTTGTAAGCCAGACATCAAGGTTTTGGTGGAGGGTGGAGGATCAAAGCTCAGAGACACAGAAAGAAAAGATTAAAAAGTTCTTGGAGATAGAAAGTATGGCATTCAGAAGGCCAGTTGTCCTAAAAAAACTAATCAGAAACAAGGTGAAAACATGGGAAGTAGCTTGGTGGGAAACCATCACCCAGGTCTTCCAGGGGAAAGTGAGTAGGTCAGCCAGAGAATATTAAAGCAGAAATGAGCCTGATGGACCTAGAGTTACATTATCATCATCCTATCACAACTTATGAAAGGCTGAGGGAAAGGCCCCCATGCAGTACACAGGACAAAGAATCGGGGAGTTTGCAGATATATTTATCACATAATTCAGCTTCCACATTTGCAGGTACAGAAACCCTGTGTCAGAAGCTTGGTTCTTGCAACCCCGCCCTTCCCCCTTTACCTTATTCCCCAAAGCATGAATGGTGTTAAAGATCATTGCTAAGTTCAGTTCAGTCAAGTCCTACATGAAAACGGACCACAGTCTGAGAAAGTAGTTCCTGTGTCTAGTCTTTTCAGAGTCTTCTGATTATTTCAGGAAAGATCAGTTTGGGACTTATATTTTCAATGCCTCTCTAACACCATTAAAACTTCCTTATAACAGGGAGGAGGAGTCTTTAGTCTCAGAGCAGTACCTAGCTCAAATCTTCAACTTTACTTTGTTCCATTATTTTGTGTTTGTGTATAAGTGTGTGTGTGTGTGTGTGTGTGTGTGTATGTGCTATGTGTGTGTGAAACACAAATAATAAAAACCCAGGGACAGATATTATGGTTCAAGCTGAAGATCAGAGAAGCAAAGCAACCAGCTACTAGCTCTTGTCTCTACCTCAGGCTGAAAAGGCTGCCCTGTGTTCAGTGTGGGTGGAGAAAAAAATCTCTAGGACTGACTACTGAATGCCCTGATCCTATCTTATATACCTCTCTAGTGCTGGGATTAAGGTGTGGGATCCCAAATGCTGAGATCAGCTTTGTGTGAGCTGTTTCAGCTACAGACTGGATCAATTTCATGTAGCTCAGTGTGGCCTTGAATGAACAGAGATCTGTCTGCCTCTGTCTCCTGAGTCCTGGGAGTAACAGTGTGCACCACTACTGCCTATCTCTGTGGCTGCAGCTAGCTTTGCATTCCAAACCCTCAGGAAAACTTTATTAAATCACAAATAATATATCACTACATGCATATCTGTTGTTGTTGTCGTGTGTTCACACACCATGTTATACATATGGAAGTCAAAGAAAAACTCGTGGAAAGTCCCTTCTCTCTTTCCATCATGTGGATTCCAGGCAAAAGAACTTAGTGTATCGGAGTTGGCCACAAGCACCTTTACCTACAGAACCATCTAATCAGCCCAGTGACACTTCTTTTTTTAAGGATGCAATATCACAATTTGATTTTTAGAAGGTATTTTTATATAACTCCTTTGTCCCTTTAATTTTTTAATTTTTATTTTGTGTACATGGGTGTTCTGCCTGCCTGTATGCCTGCCTGCATACCATGAACGTAGAGTGAGAATTAGCGGGGCTTAGAAGAACACTTAGATGACCAGGAATGGATTTTTGTCCTCTTACCTACCTCATCCAATCCCCTCTCCAGGGGCAGTTACTGTCAAGCTAATCTAATATATGTAACATTTTGAGGTATCTACTGCTATACTAAAAACTACATTGTTTAAAACCCTTGGCACTGTTGCCTTGGCATTCTTACAGTTGCAAATACGGAAGGTTTCTTACCATCACATTTGCTCCAGGGTGGACACACACCACAAGCTTTCTCAGGTAAGGCAGGCAGGGTACAGCTGTCCTTGCCAACAAGAGTATAATTTCTTCCCTGACAGTGGAGAACATGCATCTTGCAGATGGTCAGAGACAGTGTCCTTTTGCTTCTCTCATCTCGAGCACATATCTCCAAAGAGGATCTAGAAAGAGCATTTTAATTACATTATTTACAAGGTTTGCTTTCTTCAGAGCTGAGGAAGATAAGCAAAAGTAAGACTTTGTGCTCACAACTCTACAAGCCCAACAACAGCAACAAAGACTGTGTTTGCTCGTTATGAGCTCATAATTTTTATATGCCCAGACACCTAGTGCTGGTTTATCTTCATCTAGGACAGACCAGATGAAGCAATTTAAATAAGAAGGTGAGGTCTGCCAGCAACTGCAGATGGATTGATACCGAAGGAAACAGAAAATGAGCAAAGACCAAACACCCCCAAGAGACCACATGAAGCCCCTGACCTCCCAGCTCAGCATCCCTCTGGGTCTGTAATCCAGCATTGTTGACTAAATTTGTTAAGAAAACAAATAAAGAGGAAACTATTTCTCAGTGCTGTCTTTAAGGTTTATTTTTATTACTTTAATTATATATTTTATTTTAATATTTAATGTTTAATGTATAATATTAATAATGATCAATATTAATATATAACTGTATATTAATATATTACATTAATAAAATATTAATACCTATAATTAAATATCATATGTGTGTGTGTGTGTGTGTGGTGCCTGCAGAAACCAGAGGGGTGAGACCTCCCGGAGCTGGAGTTACAGACAATTTTGAGTTCTAGGAACCAAATTCAGGTCCTCTGGAAGAGCAGCAAGTGTCCTTAACTGCTGGGTCATCCCTCCAACCCCCTCAATGTGATTTTTTAAAGTATCTGTGTAGCCAGTGAGATAGTTCATTGACTAAAGGCAATTGCCGCTGATGATGTGAGTTTGATTCTCCAGAACCAACGTAGTGGAACAAAGAGAGCCAAATCCAGCAAGTTGTCCTCTGACCTCCTCATTTGTACTGTGGCATGATACCCACCCTTGCCAATAACAGTGACGGTGCTTACAAAGGATTTAAATATATATCCATCAAACATCTTACTGGTTTTTTCTTAACCACTGTTGCTAAAATGGTATGTGTTGGTTTGAAAGAAAGTGGTCCCCAGAGGGAATGGCACTACTGGGGGAATATGGCCTTGGTGGAGTAGGTAAGGCTTTGTTGAAGGAAGTATGTCACTGTGGAGACAGGCTTTGAGCTCTCATGTATGCTCGTCATGCCCAGTGAGACAGATCATATCTTGCAAGTCAAGATGTTGCAAGTCAACTCCTTCTCCAGAATCATCATGCCTGTCTGCATGCCACCATGATAATGGACTAAACCTCTGGAAATGAAAGCCATCCCAATTAAATGTTTTTCCTTTAGAAGAGTTGTTGTGGTCATGATGTCTCTTCACAGTAATAGAAACCCTAACTGAGACATGGTATAATACAGCCACTTAGAAACATCATTTAAAAAAAAAAAAAAAAAAAAAAAAAAAAAGACTATTCCTTAAACAGGGCATAGTGGCACACATCATCACAGAATTTGAGAGATGGAAGAAAGAGGATGAGATGTTCAAGGCCAGTCGCAGCTACACAATGAGTTCAAGGCTAGACCTCTCTCAAACTCCTCTCCAACAGCCATACTCCCCCCCACAGAAACTACACTTCTGAATACTGATGGATGTGAAAAACATTGTTATAGGTAAAAGTCTTACATAACAAAGCATGTTTTTATACACTGGTCAGAAAGATTTTACATTCACAGACTTTATTTTTTTCCTCTTTGACCTAGAGCTAAATTTTTCCAGAGTAGCTTATGGGGGGAACTTCTTATTTTCCATAAATCTTTTTCTGTTTATTTGAAATTTGAATATAGCTACTTAGAGTAGTTTAAAAAGCAGAAAATTTACAATACAATGTTGATATTAGCATCCAATACTGTGAAATTATACTAAAAGTCATACCATGACTGCAAACAACAGAATGAGAATAAACTGGGAGAGTTTGGGGAATTAGCAAGAGAAAAAAATTGATTCAGATAAGTAATGACTATAAGACAGCAATAACAGAGTTGGGACACTAGAATAAGAATGTATCTGGGCTGATCACAATTTTAATTTATACTCTTCACCAATTTTCTGCATACTAAAAATCATGATATGTTATCATTATCTTCTATTAATTTAAGAAGAGGATATAGTATTTGATGGGCATTGCAACTACAAAGTATTTAGTAAATTGCTGTGTTGATTCCTAAAGATGAACCGACCTAAGTCCTTAATCTTAGAAATGAAAGAGTCCAGAGACTGGTCGTCTACTACTTCCTCCCAAACCCTTCCCCATCCCTGCTCATCTTCTTGGAAGTGTGGCATGGGATGACCATATCAGACCATGCTTATCCTCCAGCTGTGAGTGTATCCTGTTGTTGTAGAGCACAGGTGAGGTGGTTTTCAGCATGAAAGGAAGTGTGGGGAACTGTTTATAACTCTGGATTAGACCTGTGGTGCCTCTGAAGTCCCAAAAGGGAATCTGCTCCTCCTTAACAGTTGTCTCTTCATCACCCTCTCTGTCTTCATGTGTCATGAATGTCTCCCTCTTTCAGGCCTGGGTGTGGATATGCATACACACACAAAACTATAGTTTTGCTTTATTCTGCCCACAGTTTTGTAAGCTAGCTGCTAGACCTCTCCTACTCCTCATCTAATTATACAACCTGCATCTTGCTAGGATCCTAACACAGGCATCCAGGAGTTACTTCCCAAATCTTCCTAAAAGTATTGACTAGAAAATGGTAGCGTTTTTTGGAATGCAAATCTAATAAGGAAGCTTCTAGTGTCAGAAAAGCAGCTGCTCTATTATCTATTGGTACTGCTTTTTTTAACGTTTATATCCCATGGGAATTTCAGCCTAATCCTCAAAAGCTCTAAATCCTCAGGTGACAGTTCTGTCATTTTGCTTTACTTTATATGGAGAACAAGCAGTGCCCAAGCAGTCCTTCAACTCCTCCAGATTAGAACCCTGCTTAACACCATGGCTGTTCCTGTAACAGGCAGCAATGGGACAGATAGAAATGCAACAACCCTTAGCTATTCATAAACTGTACCTTCATTCAATAAGCTGTGCAAAGCCACCCCATTTACCCTGGATAAAATCAAACAGACAAGAGAGCGGCAAGGACAGAGCTTACCTGCACTCGTAGGGCATTTTACAGACACATTTTGAGTTCTGCAGTTTCTCCCAGGGCTGACATGCAGGAGCTGCTGGTGAGAGAGTGCTGGTGTCTAAAAGAAACATTTAAGAGAGATGTGATTCTTAGCAGAATAAGCCTTGCTTTTCAATAGAACTTGCTGAATCAGGATCTGTAGGCTTCTCAGCTATTAAGATATCATATAGTTGAAAGAAAGGTGCTGGATTTGGGTGGGTGGGTGGTGGATTTAGGTGGGTGGGTGGTGGGGAGAATGGTGCTGGGGGAAGGAGAACCATACAAAAATATTATATGAAAAAATGTATTTTCAATTTTAAAAATTCAAAAAAAAAGAAAGTATACTCTCATCCCTAACCAAGAAGCTATCTCTAATTGCCATCTGCTTGCAAAGGGAAAATTAGTTTTCTCCAGTGGCATCTCACTAGGTATATTAGCCACACTTAAGGGATATCTCCATGCCTAGCAGTGGAAAGCCAATGCACAATAAAGTCAATGGTATTTTTGTAAGACTTTTTTTTTTTTTTTTTTTTTGGCTCATATTGTTTGTTAGCGCACTGTTTGTATTATTGGTCTTTTACTTCTATTTTATGGTCTCCAACTTTGTATTTTTATGGTATATGGTTGTGTGTGTGTGTGTGTGTGTGTGTGTGTGTGTGTGTGTGTGTGTCTTTGCCTCTCTTTCCTCTCTCCTGCTGCTCCTGTCCCCAGGGAGTCTCCCTGTTCTCCTTCCCCCTTTTTATGATCCCTTTCCCTAATATAAAAACAAAAAAACAAAAACAAAAACTTCCAGTGAGCTCTGTCATATGGCATCTTTCTCCTGCCCTTTTTAAAATTATAACAGTGGTAACAAATGCAGAAGTGGAAGCTAGGCATGTTTAACTGATTGTGCACTGTTCATACATCTTGATGTTTGATCCCAGCTAACAAGTACCTATGTAAGAGATGAAAAACCTATTTAACAAATGTCCATATTTGTCTGAATCCAGTTATTGAAGCAAATTCCCTTTCGAGAAGCTGATCCTTGTATACTGTTGTTTTGGGCTACATTTCACCACAAGCCACGACTGGCCACAAAGCCACAAAAGAACTTAGAGATCTGGATAGATGGCCCTGTAGTTACCAGCACTGGCTACTATTCCAGAGATTTGGGGTTGATACCTATCACCCACATGTCAGCTCACAACTGTCTGAAACTCCCATTCCATGGGAGCTGATGTCCTCTTCTTCTGGCTTTTGTGGGTACCAACCATGCTTGTGATGCATATATATATATATATATATATATATATATATATATATATTATGCATAATATATATGCATAATATATATATATGCAGAAAAACACCCATATACATTAAATAAATAAATAAACAAAACTTCTTTTTTAATTTCTTCTATTGGAGAATTTCCTGATGTCCAAGGAGAGCTATAGCCTCACACATGCCAATGTCCTGATTGTCTTCCTCTCAAAACTGTGCTTATGTCTTGAAGTGCTTTATTAAAAATATTATATCCACTATCTTTTGTCTAGAAACTCATTATTTTAAGTAAACCATTATTTGAATTTTGGCAGGAAAACACCTTGGTGTGGCTTACAGTACCATAAACTGAAAGCCTTTGCATTGGCTCTGACAGATGACAATGTGAAGTCTGAAACACTCATTTTTTTTCTCCACTTTTCTGCTAGCTTAGTTTAATGAAAATCATTTGCATCAAACTTGGGGGCATAAATTTAGATACTCGTCACATAGTATATTATAAAGACAGTTTTATTAGAAGAACATGTTTTCTGCATTCTAACTGCATTTGTTTATTTAGTGTGTGCATGTATGTGGCGCACACACAGAGGTCAGAAAACAACTCCCACAGTGTTAGTCCTGGGAGATCAAACTCAGGCCATCAAGCTTGACAGCAATTGTCTTTGTACACTGAGCCATCTTGCTGACTTAAGGGCATAATTTTATAAGTGAGTATAGCATAGAATACATATGTCCCTTACTGTAGAAAATAAAAGAAAGTTAGACAAGATAAAAATCCCATGAGAAACTCAAAATTGGAAAAAATGGTAACAATATGAAGCATGTCTTCCATGGCTAGAAATCTCAATGACAATCACATGCTCTAAACACTTCAACTTGATGCAGTGACACTCCAAATGCAAAACAGAAACTTGAATCAGATCCTAGAAATTAAAATGACATAAGGGGGAAGCATGGTATCTGAAATAGATTAGTCAAAAGTGTCCTGAAAGCAGGGTTTAAATGAGTTCACCAGACCAAAGATAAATGATAAATTGGTGTTTATTAGGGAAACACACAGATAAAATAACCACCACAGTCTTCCTTCTCCAGAAGATGCAGTCTCTGCCCTTCTGATGCTCTCTGAAACTCAAGAGAGCTTGAGCCAGCCTCTCCTCTACCTTATAATGGGTCTCATCTGCACCTAAAACCACACCCAAAGGGTGTGGCCAGCACTACAAGTTCATTGCTGGGCAAGAGGCCACTATAGTGTCCTGGTAATATTATTTTCTCAATTTGTTTTGATTTGTTGTTTTCTTTGCTTTCAAGACGAGGTTAGACTCAAAGTTGAGATCTTCTGTCTCAGTTGTCAAATATTAGGATGGCTGGTACAGTGGTCTGAATGAGAATATCGCTATCCACACCATGAGCTCATGGATTTGCAGTTAAACTATTAGGAAGGGTTAGGAAGAATTAGGAAGGGTGTCCTTGTTGGAGGAGGTGTGTCACTGGGGGTGTCTGTCTTCCTCTATCACTCTCTACCTTATTTTTGAGACAAGGTATCTCTTTGAACCTGGTGCTTGACATTTTGGCTAGACTGGCCAACCAGCCAGCTGCCAGCATCCACCTGTCCCTATGCCCCCAGTGCTGGGATTAAAGTCATACACCACAATGCCCAGCTTTTATCTGAAAGCTGAGGATCTGAACTAGGGTCCTCATGCATATTTAATAAATACTGTATCCACTGAGCAATCTCCCATCCCCATACTCAACTCATACTTTAAAGCACCAACCTTGAAGCTGATAAACATGGAGATTTTTGTTTGTTATAGGTTTATCTTAAGTGTAGTTATTATTTTTATCTACATATTCAGAGAAATGCATGGGTTCATAAAACATCCTTAATTAGAATCAACCATAATACCATTGTCTACTAAGTAGGGGAAAATCATACCAAATTATACTATAAATGACAGAAGCAAGCATTTCAGAAAAACAACTACCTAACTTTCTTTGAAACCAAAGTATATCCTCATTAAGTATATATTGTTCTCTTTCATTTTAGAATCACAGGTACAGGTGCCTTACTTTCCACAACTCCATGCTAGAGGGAACACTAAAGACAGCAACTGTTTTCTGCTGTGTTCAGAAGAGAGTTCACATCAGAGCTAATGTAGAAGACACTCATTAGTCCACTCTACTACTCTCTACTATCTATGCATCACCACAGTTCATACCTAATTCAGAGGAACAGGGCTCCCAGAAACCTGTTCTTTGCCATTATAAATGTCTAATTCACTTAACTATATTCATTATAAAATCCAGTACTTATCCTCATAATAATAAACAGGTTTTAGCACTGAATTAAAGTTTTTACACTAAAGAAATAGTATGTAGAACAGCTTGTACATGAGTTTTCCTTCTCTCCTGGCTATAATTACTAAAAGCATTTTTCCAGGGTGAAGAGGTGGAACAGCAGTTTTAAGGACTTCCTGCTCTTGCAGTAGGCCTGGTCTCATATCATGGCACCCACATACCTCTCCATAACTCCAGTTTCAGGGCATCCAATGCTCTCTCATGACTTATGCAAGCCTTTCACACATGCAGTTCATTCACATACATGCAGGCAAAACATTCATACACACAAAATACAAACAAATTCACCCTTTTATATTGAGTAAACAACAACATATTTATATTTATTAATGTATAATCAAACAATAAATATATTTTTTAAAACTTATTTAGCCCATTTTACAACCTCTGAAATACATAATTTTGTCTTTCTAGATTGTTTTTTCTGTCTCAGGTGCTTGTTTGTTTTTTGAGACAAGAGCTCTCTCTGCATAGCTCTGGCTGTCCTAGAACTCACTATGTAGACAGGGCTGGGCTCAAGCTCACAAAGATCTACCTGCCTCTGCCTCTGCCCAGTTTATCTTAAGTTCTTAAAAGAATGTTTTTGCATGTGACTAATGTTTAGAATACGTGATTGCTGGATTTTCACAATGAAGAGTAAAAGAAGACCACCCCGTAACCCTCACACCCCCAACCTCAGCTAAAAGCCAAGGGCCTGAAACTGAGCTTAAAGCCATAGGAAGTAGCTATTTGGGGATTACTGAAGAAAGGTAGCTGACTTGACCCCAGACCAGTGGTTGCAGAGACAATAGATCTTGCAATCACACAGCTTATCTAAGAAAAACAGCTCATTTCTCCCATTCTGCCCCTAACAAGCCCTTCAAGCTGTTTCCCTGTCCTTAGCTACAAAAACATCAACCTAAAGCCTGAATTCCGCATCTCTTGAGCTCTGGACATTGAGCGATTGGGTCCTGTGCCTTGATCATGGGATGACCAGAATTAAGAGACATCACCTGTTTGGGATCAAAAGTTTTGGGCTCAACTGAATTCTCATGTTTTATTTCTTCCTGAAAACTTAATTCTTACTTACCCTTACAAAGAGAAGATTCACAAACCATAAGAATTTTCTTTGAAAAATGTCTACTTTGCAATCAATGTTAAATATGAATGCCTTACAAATTTTCAACTTCCATATCAATAGATTCCAAGAGTCCAGAAATAAAGCATTCAAAAATTGAAATCATCATCTTAACTCTTAGTTTAGGAGATCAGTAAAGAATCAAACATCAGCTTTCAAAAAGCCTTCATTTTCTTGCTACTCTATGTAGCAGACATAAGCTGTTCTTTCCCTGTGGAGGAGTGAAGTTCAGTTCCCCATCCTCTCCTGTTCCTCTACTCCACGACTCTATTATGCCATGTGAATAGCTGTTGCACCATCTACACATTGACTTCATTCTCCTCGGAAGCCAGATGGAGAGAATGACATACTGTAACCCAATGCCAAGAAGGTCACCATAAGGACTCTCACCTGTCTGAGCACTGGTGTCATTGAAGAGACATGGGAGCCACTCACCTTTCTGCATACACAGGGTGTTTTTCAGCTCAGGGCTCCATTTAAGGCTGGATCCACAAAGGAATGTTGAAGGACCTTCTAAGGACATGCCAGCTGCACAGGAGAGGGTCACCTTCTCACCGACCTTGTAAAGGGGTTTCTGGGGGTGACTCTGCATGCCATTCATCAGTACAGGTAGAGAGCAGGCAATTTCTGAAGATGAAGAACAGGATGCAAGGGTCACTGCTTTCCTAAAGAACCTGTTTAAAAACAGCCTTGGGGAGTATTAATATACATGTTCTGCCTTTTCTTATCAGAGGACAAACAGGGAAAACAGAGCATCTACTCACAGGGGGATCCAAAAAGCACACTCCATGGTGTCTGACATGTAATTGACCAGTGAATGGCTGAAGACAAAACAGCTGTCATCTCCTTCCCCTGCCCTCAAAGTAATGTGACAAGCTAAAATGAACAAGCCTACAAATAGACTCCCAAAGCCTAGGCTGCTGCTAAAAGCAGACTTCACAGCTGCCACTTATCTCTGTAGTCAGGTAATGTCCCACCAAAATTTCCCCCAAGAGCTTTACTCATTTGCATATCATTAGCTCTAATTAGATATGTCACTATTTACAAATTTAAAGCACCACCTTGCACCTTGCAACCATAAACGTGTACAGTGTTCTGTATTTTTCCACCTCAAATTTTCCCTTAGTGGCATTCATTAGTCCAAACCTATTTAAAAATAAAACCACAGAAAAAAACAGAGAGAGAGAGAGAGAGAGAGAGGGGGGGGGCAGGTCAGAAATCATGACTGAAAACAAAAAACTTTGCCAAGTCTCTCATGGATTTTGGACAATACTATACAACATCAAAGAGTTTCTGCATTGTCTTTATCAGAAGACCCAACCATTCATTTATTCAAACACAGTATTCATCATTTATTGAGTGCCTGTATTTTGCCAAATATGTCGTGTATTGGTGGAACAAAGCTAAGTACTGGTCACATGTTGTGCCTTCCAAATCTAGCACTGAGTTTGCTCATGACATGATACATCTGCCAGGTCTATTAGAAGAATGTCTTTCAGCCTGTCTCCCACTAAGACAGATAGGAAAGTTGCACAAGATTAAAGGAAAAACGTTTCTGAGAATCAGATAATTGTCAAAAGAGAACAGATTTGAAGTCCCAAATTCCAGACAGAAGAGAAATCTAAGATAGTGATTACAGATTTGGTAATGCTTTTCTCCATGTGGTACTTGTAAATTTGAAAAGCTAAACCAAAATTAAAATAAAAGCATAGTGAGGAACAGACAAACTGAAGAGAGGATTGCAGCTCCAAGGTTAATCTGTTTATAGAGCCTGCAGGAGAGTCATAGGGTAGAGGACCCAGAGCTACAGCATTGTCAAAAAGGGGATGATACCTAGGTAGACAGTCCATACTTCTATTAAGACCACTTAGTAGCTAGATACCATTGGAATAAACATTAAACAGTCATGAAGCAGCTTCATTTTTGACCAGATAGAAAACTCATCTTCTCCAAGGATGTCATCAAAACCTTAAATTGTTCTTAAAGTTTTTCATGTGGAGAGTGGCATTTAGTCAAAACTAATCTAGTCTTCAGAAACATAAGAATGACCAAAGTTTGACCACCAAAAATATAACTAACATAAAACATGCAAATAGTGAAATTAACAGCTATGTGCCCTGAAAAGGCTGCAATTATTTTGTTGAGAAATCTAAATGATATCAAGTATAGTGTCTCATGTCTGTAAAATCAGCAATTGCAAGGCTGAGGCAAGAGAACCAACATTAGTTGTGGTAAGGTGAATTCCATTCCAGTTTGGGCTATTGAGTGAAATTTTGCCTCATAAAAAAAAATACTAAATAACAAGATAGAAATTTTCTACAAAACATTGGAAAATAGCACACACCTTTAATCCCAGCACTTGGGAGGCAGAGACAGGCCAATCTGAGTTAGAAGTCAGCTTGGTCTACAAAGTGAGTTTCAGGACAGCCAGGGCTATACAGAAAAACCCTGTCTTGAAGAACAAAACAAGCAAAAAAAAATAGAAAATACAAATAGCAGGAAAATATATTAAAAGTTCAATAGGATTCTTAAAAGGCTATACCACAATTACAAAGAAAATGCACGAGTGAAAGATAAATCAATAAAAATATTTAACATGAAAAGCAAAGCACAGAAAAAAATTGTGTGTGTGTGTGTGTGTGTGTGTGTGTGTGTGTGTGTGTGTGTGTGTGTGTGAACACCAGCTTTCTAGCTTTGTATGCTGTGGGAGTAATCACTGAAACTCCCTCTACCAATGCTTCCTCAGTGAACCTGTGAGCCTTGCCTGTGAACTGTGAGCCAACATAAGTCTCAGTTTCCTTAAGTTGTTTTGATCTGGTATTTTTGTCACAGTGCTGAAAAAACTAAATGATGCAGACTCCTATCAGTTTTTCAGAAAAAGAAGATGAGTTACTCATGGTGATTTGCTCTATAGTGTTGGGGTTTGCATGAGTGGTTATTTATCTTGATTCACCTTCTTGTCCATCATTCTGTCATCTTAGGATATATACTAAAACCAAGACCACTCACTCTGACAATGCATTTCCCCAACAAGCCACTGTAACTCGTCTCCACATCTGGCAACAGGATCACCAATAAGGGAATACCCTTCTTTGCAAGCATATATAATGCTTTTCCCAACAGGAAACGTGGTACCTTCACCCTAAACAAGTCAAAAGATGGAAAAAGGTTGAGTTTGACTGTTTCTCATTAGGTTTATTTGGCCTACAAATCATAACTAATTTTAATCATCGATCAACATACATCCAAACAATTGATTTAGAAAATCAATGTAAAGCATTTTCCCCTGTAAGAATGTATTTAACACTAGTACCACCAGTGATTGCAATAAAGCCATAAATGCCAACTTATCATAAATGTATAGATTGCTCCCCAAATACCAAGTGCTGCACTAAGTATTTTACTAAAATCACTTTAATGAACACTATTAGAGTAATTTCTTTCCCTTATACTTGCAGTAAAAGGCAGTTTTTCATCAGATTTTGGAAGTGGTTGTTTGTTTGTTTGTTTGTTGTTTGTTTTTCCATCAGTTCTTCATCTGAAGGATGTGTATTCTCTTGGTTGACAACACTACCTAATAAATGTTAGCATAACAGAAATATTTGCATCTTTTCAATATCTTCCTGGAAGTTTTTCTCATTGATGACATTTTATCAGATCATTGTTTGTTTTGCCTTTTTGATGTAGGTTCTCACTGTGCCTCCCTGGATTTAATAAGTAGCCCTAGCTGGCCTCAAGATCAGAACCTCACTCCTCTGACTCCCAAGTACTGGGATTACAGGCATGTGCCACCACACCTAGCTCAACGATCATTTCTAAGAACATATGCTGTTGATCTCCAACTCTGCACTATAGTTATGCAAACACTGCTATGAGTGGATTACATATTTTATTTGCATATAATATTTGGAAGTAAGTTGTCATAATAAAACAAAGAATTTCAAATCCCCAGCCTGGCAGGAGAAAACTACCCTCATTTGAGATTCTGGCTTCTTTTCCTTACCCTCTAGTTCTCTGCCCCTGGGAAAATGCTAAAGAAATACATGCCTGGAGAATGGTTTGGAGATTGCATCTTACCCAGCTCTACTCTGGGAAATAAACCCAATTTCCTGGTGTCTCGTTATCATTGCCAGACATAGACTACTCAAGGTTTAGTCTACCTCCTTCATAGAAGCTAATAGGAAACAATGGGTAAGGAACATGCATGTCAATTTTTTACTATAGCCCCTAGGCCTTCTACTTTGCAAGAGGGACTTCCTAATGAGGAAGATTGATTCAACACCATCCAAGCATTTCTATTAAAAAAACAACTTATAGAAAGTATAAAAGACTCCACTCCCAACCTACTGAATCAGAAAAGATGTAGGATGTAAATCAAGCATCAGTCTCTATTCTGAAGTTCCCTAAGTGATCTATATAGACATTCTGAAACAGTGTTTAAAAATGTTCACTCCTTTAAAAAGCAGAAGAGCTTCATGAGTTGCTAATATGGAGTTTGCATTATATTGCTTTCTAAACATGTTACATTTCAAAAGCCTCATCAACCATGGTTTGTGTATAGAACAGTCTACGACTTTCTACCTTATCCCCTTTGCCTCCTCACTTTCCTAACAGCATATATACATTTGTGGAAACTTATGTAAACTCATTATTATACACTAAATGGCCCAGAATTGAAGAATCAAAATGCTTCATGAAGAAGGTAAAGCTGGCAGCATGGAGGGCATCCTTGTGAAGACATATCTCCTGTGTGAGCCATGAAGAGATGCCATTGAACTTTGAGCTACAAGTTCAATTGTAAGAAAAACTGGGACCAAAACTAATTGAGACCTTCACAATGCCAAGAGACAGCACTAGACAACCAACGCAAGATGATCATAGTCCTTTTATGAACACAAAAATTGATAAAAGTAGACAACCTACATCTATCTCTTGAAGTAAATAAAATACTTTATGATGAAACTTTTTTAAGATAGGCCATTTTTAATAAAAAAATAATAAAGAAAATTCTTCAGTTTAAAAAAAATTGCATGTACATTCACACTTAGTAACACTGATGGTATCTGTAATTCATCAAATGGCAGTATTAACATCCAAGACCATAGAGGGAGTACTGTCTTCAATTACCCTGGGCCAAAGGAGAAATGTCACAAATGCAATTCACCACTACTGAAGTTAAAATGCACACATAAAAATGTTTTCCACAACTTTACTATGGAGAAGGAGATGGGTTATGGCCAAGTAAAGAGATAGAAGCTGGAATATTTATAAAGGAAAAATATATATTTTCATAACCAACTTGAACAAATCCATCTTTTAAGGCAGGGGGTGATGGGCAGAATCCTTTTGGAACCAACGACAAATAAAAGCAATGTGGCTCAAGTAATCTGGAAAAAAATGAAAATCAATGTGATTTGTTTCCACAATTAAGTTGATATATTATATTACAATTTTCATTTATATCTGAAGACATGCAAGTAGAAAGTACCAAATATGTGATCACATTGTATTTTTAAATACCTAGAACATAAATTCAATCTAGCAAAAGATACTGATCTAAGTATCTACAGGATCCATAGTACAGAAGCAACATGGAAGAAAGATGAAAGTCTTTGGGTATTGTATCTACATTATATGATTTCTAGAATCCATCTGTCTCAGATATCAATGTATCTCCTGCTGTTGAGTTCTGAAATTCTTTTATCACAAAACTAATTCTACTTGGCAATAAAAAATATCCTTAATACCGCATCACCAATGCTATTCCTAAAAATTTACCATCACATTATCATTCCAACAGGAACTTGCAATTATGATAATGATAATGAAAACATTCATCACTGAACAGTGATTGTCCACAGTGCCTTTGTGACCATTATACTACCAATCCTCTCTGGTGAGTGAAATCTGAGTGAGAGGAACACAGGTAGGCTATGACACTTCTTTCTCGGCCAAATTCCTCATCTTTTGCAATACCCCAAGGAAACCAGAAATGGGAAGCAATAATAAAAATCTTCCTGTTTCAGCTAGGATATCTGAATCTTCTTCGAATCCCCCAAGACAGCGCCCCTTACCAGCAGGAAGTAGTTTGGAAAGAACGACGCCCAAATTCCCAAATATTGTGTATAAATGTTTGTTTTCATTTAATTGGACTTTGTTATATAAAATTAAATAAAAATAAATAAATAAATAAATAAAAATCTTCCTGTTTCTACTCATCAGGAGGACACATTCCCTCATTAGAGAAACAATAATAAAAATTGAAGAACAGGAAGAGGAGGTCACTTCCATGTTCCCTTCTCTCTGCCTTTGTGTATAAAGGTTTGTTATTCCCCCATTAAATAGACTTAATTTTGTAAGGAATTACAGAGTGCAGGGTAATGAGTCCCACCAGGCAAAGACCTCTTTCACATACTCATCCTCATGGGGGTACATGTACATTCTTTTCTCACTATAACCCATATGTCCTTTGGAATCCTTGAGAATACTGGTTATTATTATTTAACAAGGCATGGAAGACCTAGGATCAAGGCAGCGTATGTCCTCATCTGTCACTTACCAGAGCACCTTATTTGTTTCTTTAACTCACATGGCCTTCAAATCACCTTACTGGAGTTTCTTGTCTAGTTTCTGAGCTTTGAAATATTTCACAAATAAACCAACAAATGCATTTTTGGAGTCTTATAGGTGGTTCCCTGGGAAAGTATTCCCAAATGCCATACACAATGCCCCCAATTCAGCTGCCTAAAGCAAGATCATCTTTACCCCAGTTCCAAAATGGAAGCTACGGTTACCTGTTCACATGGGGAAATGATGAGGAGGTAAAAATTTGCTCAAAAGACCCAAAAGAAAAATAGCCTGTTTTTTTTTTTTTTGTTTTTGTTTTTTGTTTTTTTTTTTTTTTTTTTTTTGTGGCTAAAAACCAGAATTGACCTTGCACCTCTTTAGCAAGTCTCTTCTTTACAAGGTACCATGGATTCCAGAAGAAGTGCAGGCTGGGAACTGTGGTCGAGCTCCTAAATGATTTTAGCATTGCCTCTTTACAACAATAAAGTCTTAGTAGGATGAAATTCCTCTGGGACTGGAGAGATGATTTGGTGGTTGAGGACCAGAGTTCTGTTCCCAGCAAAAAGTCAGAGGGCTTGTACCAGCCTACAATTCTAGCTCCAGGAGAACCCTTAGCCTCTGACCTCCTTGGGGGTATGGGTATTCACATGTATACACACATAATTAAAAATAAGAAAATAATTTAATTTTAAGTGAGAAAAAAAGGAGGAAAAAAAAAAACCTCCTTCTGATCAAAAGAATAGACTCTTAGTGGAGACCAAAAATTTTAGTTAGGCCAAATCAATCACTTGGCCACTAAGCGGTCCAACTCACCTTAAGCTATGCTACCTTTAGGCAGAATAATATTTCCTTTAGGCAGAATAATTATTCCTTTAATGAGATTCTATACTTTGCCTTCACTGACCACCCCTAGAACAGCTCTTATATTTTTGGTTGTGAGCCTAGCCTTTAACAGCTGAGCTATCTCTCCAGCCCTTAAAAAAAAGAGAGAGAGAGAGAGAGAGAGAGAGAGAGAGAGAGAGTAGCCTAGGCTAGCCTCGAAATCGTGATCCTCCTGTTCCTCCTTCAGCAAATCCTAACAGCGTGCACCACCACACTCAGAGCACAGCCATGCTGCTTCTTGTGTCTATCCATGTTAGTTACTCGGGAGGATGTAGCTTTTCCTTTTCTTTCTGTTTCTGCTCTAACTAAGCATGCCTTCCCTAACACCTTGGATTTCCCTGCATTTGTCACTTTCTTATTTGTCCCCTAAAGCTCCTCTCTCTGCCATGTGATTGTTAGTGAGTCACATATCAGACCACCTTTAAACAGGATGGCTTTTCTTTCTTTTTTTTTCTCCTTCCTTCTTTACTCATCCATTTTACTCCTTTGGGAGGTTTATGAAATTTATGACTCACTCGCCCTAAGAGTGTTTCTTTTAAACTCTGATAAGATCGCCTTTTGTTTAGAAAAGTAAAATAATTCTGCAACAGAAAAACAAAGCCTGGGCATGGTGATGCCAGCTGTAATCCCAGCACTTGGGACGTAGAAGCGGGGTGATCAGGAAAGAGTACAAGGCCATCCTCAGTTACATAGTGAGTTTGAAGAAAGTCTGGGCTATGTAAAGCTCCATCTCAATTAAGGGAATAAATAAATAATTGTTTTAAAAATAATTCTGGCATAGGGATGCAATTGAATCAAGAAAGCTAAGAGAGCTTTTGCATGATCCCTGCCAAAGTAAAGTTAGTATCAGATTACCACCAGACCAATCAGGCAAAATATCATCCATCTAAAGCATCAGGCTTTATATTTGGCACAGAAAACATGAAAGTAGGAGGCAGTGGTACATCTGAAAGTCAACACATTTATTGAAGCTTTCCATGTGCCTGTGCCAATCACTTTTACATGCTTGATCTCATTTAGTGCTTATGTTTTATTAACAACTTACCTACAACTATTATTCTGATTTTAAAGGTCCATCAAGTGACTTGCTCAAGGTTACACAGCAAGTAAAAAGCAAACCCAGACCTACTCCCAGTTACTAGTCCTGTACCTCCCTAGAGTCCAGAAAACCTGATGCTCACAGCCAGTGTTAATGGCCATGACCAGTTCACTTCTTTGTTGACTCTGGTACTAAGAGGCAAAGAAAAAGGTGATTTAAAAAAATCACTTTACTTCTAATCATCTAAGAGCAGCTATCTGCAACCTCGTGCTCACCACACAGTATACTTTCTCTAAGTAACTGCTAAAATGTCTGGTCTCCATTAATTACCTCAAGTTCTCTAAGTCCTGGTCTTCACATTGCCGGCTTTCAGTTGTTTCTCCAATACAGGCCTTTCCACCTGCTCTGGGCTGGGGATTATTGCATTCTCTGCTCCTTGATTTCTTCCCCTGAACACAGGGGCCCCAAGAGGACCAACAACTCCAACCTCCATCAACCACTCCTGTAATATGAGAAAGGCTCTTGACTTCTGTAGAGCAAGAATTCCGAACTTAGTGTTGGGCTTGCTGCTAATGTGTTTATTGGGGATAGGGGGATAATAGCCTTGTGAGAAATTTACAAAGGGCTTATTATAAGATCAGCAGTTGGCTGAGTGTGAATCCAGCAATGGTTTTATTAGTTCCAAGGACTTGGACAAGTCATTCAAACTTCTTGTTCCTTTGTTATTCTCCAAGTACTTCTTAGTGTTCTCTAGCAGGTTTTATAGCAGCCAGAAAGGCTCTCCTCACTGACTTGAAGTATCCATATCCAGCCTGCTGAAAAAAAATTCTTGCAATATCTTAAGTTCACTGACAATTCTATGAGTGTCAAAGTACTTTCGTGTACATTGTATCATTTATTTGCTTTTCTAGACAATGACCAAAGCAAAGGGAGGGAAACATTACCATTCCCACTTTGTATTCCAATCCCTACTAGTAAAGGAAGATTCTGCTTTAAAAGATCATTGAAAATCCACCTGTCAGCAGTTGAAAAATATTGACTAATGGTACACAGTACAAAACTGTAGGGGTATTCCAAAGAGCTTGCTGTCAGAAAGGCTAGACAGGAGATATGCTCCCAAAGAGCTGTTTTAAAACAAAACCTTGTGAGATAATTACAAGAAATTGGAAGGCATTTTAAACATAATTCTATTCTATAGAGAATGAGGACTCAAAACCAGAATGGTGTTTTTAATTCAGACAAGTAAGAAGAGAGAGCAAAGGACATCAACCTTAAAAGCTATAATGTGGAGATGAAGATGGAAAACCAAGGGAGACTGAGTAGAAGCGCAACTTCACATCTGCAAACACGAGCAGGGCATGTCAAGGGCCAAGGATAATTCCCTTTTCAACATAGCCCTCATTGAGTGAAAACCCATTATACTGACCTGCTTGATTGCCGACAAGGACTCCTTGCTCACACGCCATACCAAATGTGTATGGTTTGCAGTGACACTGACATTCTGTCCCCACAACAGTAGCAAGGCCACCGTTCTGGCAAGGCTGGCAATGGCAAGGGTCGAATTCACCCAGGTACTCCTCGAGAGCTCGCTTCAGGTACAGTCTTTTTACAGATGCACAGGGCACTTCCTTGACCAGCTCATACAAAGGCATCAGCTACAAAGGAAAGACATCAGTCAGTGCTTAGAGCTTTCAGGGAGATTGTGCATAGTATATGTATATACAACCCCACTGAAACAAAAGGAAAAGTCACTCTTGCATTCATTATAGCTGCCCTGATAGTACATATGTTTCAAGATCCCCAATATAGTCCCCAAAGCAAGAATAGAACCAAATCTTACGTAGGCTGCTTCTTCCTATTCATATGTACCTATGATAAAGCCATAAAGGTTGCTCTCTCTATGTCTCTACGTGTCTCTCTCTGTGTCTCTGTGTGTGTCTCTCTATGTCTCTGTCTCTCTCTCTGGTCTTTCTCTCTGTTCTCTCTCTCCCCCGTGTGTGTGTGTGTGTGTGTGTGTGTGTGTGTGTGTGTGTGTGTGTGTGCGCGTGTGTGTGGTGGGTCCATGTGTCTGTGTGTCTGTGAATGTTACATGTATGCAGATACCCACAGAAGCAAGAAGAGAAAGTCAGATCCCTTGGAGCTGACATTAATTACAGGCAGTTGTGAGCCTTCCAACATGAGTGCAAGAACCAAAATGGGGTCCCCCAGAAGAGCAGCAAGTAGTGCTCCTAACAGATGAGTCATCCCTCCACCTTCCTGTGACAAAGTTTGGTTTATAAACAAGATAGAACATGGGATTAACAATAATAATTAATAATGAACTGCAACTCGTGAGTTGCCCATTTCTGAACTTTCTATTAAATGTCTCCAAACTATGGAACTAAGGAAAGTAAAACTGCTGATAAGTATTTACTACTTTACAATTGTTTCTTTAAAGCTTAAAAGGGATGTGGCAGGGGGGAGGATCTACTCTCCTTACCACAAAATCTACACAAACCTAGGAAAATTTAGAACAGATAAGGGAAGAATCTTGTTTATATTTTAAGCATGTGTAAAATTAAAAAAAAAAAAAAACAAAAAGCCAAAGAACATTCATTGTCTAGTTAATGGAAGATTGTTTTAAAGACAATGTGTTATCACCTCCACAGTGTACAGAAGTGTGCTTAAATTACAGCAAGGAAGCAAGTCCAATTACACTTAGAATTAAATTTCCTGTCTCAGAGATTTAGTATCTCTTTCCTAGAGACAAAAAGCCTTCTCCTGAAGAAATGTAAAGCAGGGAGATATTACTATTATGTGTTTGTTTTTTCAGAAGAAAAGAACTTTGAAGTCAACAGTGTGGTGGCTAAATTTTAACAGCAAGGCTTATGTGAAAACATGCTTTCCCAGGAGCAAGAAGGCTCTACCTTGTAACAGTTGCTAAAATTTCCTACACACTTTTGTGATAGCTACATTCAGATTATCACAGTGATATCACCAAGGACTCGACTGGGAGGAGCAATGACAGCCAAGCTATTCTGAGCAGTGGCCTTCAGTGGTCATAAAGCTGGATGGTGTCTACTCTTTCATTGTTCCTTTCCTGCTGAGCCAGGAAGTTGGCTTGTGTGCAACAGTTTGTAGCCCTTTAGGAAAAACAAAAAAGGATGCAGTTGGAGCTGTGAAAGAATGTCTGCTTTCCTCTCATCGACATTTTCAATGGTACAGTGAAAATAACCCATTCTGAATACTAAAAAGGTGGTACCCTTTGAGACCTTTCCTGAGAATGCTGTACAGGTACAGTGTGTTAGGTATGCTTAAAGCACTAGTGTGGGTCTTTATTATTATTATTATTATTATTATTATTATTATTATTATTATATAAAGTATGTTCATCTGGGATACTGACTACTATAAAAAAATAGATCATACAATCAATTCTACCAAAATGTTCCTTTAGAAAATGTGAATTTGCTCTATTGAGGTTGATACATCAGAGAACAACATGAGCATTTTGCAAATTTTATGTGTTCTTATGTGCAGTTGTATCCACAAGATGCACAGAGTGAGTGAGCCCAGAACTTCGCTGCTGAGGAACACATGTGATGTACACACACATCCATGGGCATTCAGACATCCATGTTTGTTCGCCTACTGTATTATAAAGCATGTACACCCATCCATTGGGTGATTTGTCTACCAGATTTCTGACTGTTCTACTTCACCTGATTGAAAACATTGCAACACTTCTAGCACCCAAGAAGCTTCAGGGTTTTCTAGACAATGTGCCCCATTTATGGCAACATCAATGCATGTATTAATAACTTAACATGTATAAACCCTTGCATCAACTGTTATCAATGCCACCTTTTTCTAATCAGAATCATAGCTAATTTTGAGTGTTGTGGCCCTAACTCCATTTTTCAGTCTTCACTGTACATGTTTGCATAATTCAGTAGGTTTTTTTTGGGGGGGGTTGTTGTTGATGTTTGGAATACATATATTTATTATAAAATAAGTCTCACTTTGTGGTAAAACACCCTCAGCTCTGCCTGGCATTTGGTGTTACTTTTATCTACTTGACTTCAGAGTCCATGAACTCTGCACAGGAAAAGAAGCAATCTCACTGACACATATAACAGCAAGTGAGTCTGTCTGCCTTCCTCTGGGAAAATCCGTAACCCCTCTGAATTGGAAACCAAAGAAAATATGACCAAGGGGCTGAAAAGATGAGTTGGTGGATAAAGGTACTTGCCCAACGAGCATGACAACCTGAGTTCAGTCCTCAGAACCCACACAAAGGTGGAAGAAGAGAACTGACTCCACAAAGTCATCCACTGTGGTGGTTTGAAAGAAAATGCCCCCCAAAGACAGTGGCACTATCAGGAAGGGTAGCTTTGTTGGAGGAAGTGTGTCACTGTGGCGGAAAACTTTGAGGTCTCATATGCTCAAGATACCACCCAGTGTCTCAGTTCACTTCCTGTTGCCTGCAAGATGTAGGCCTCTCAGCTACTTCTCCAGCACCATGCCTGCCTGCAGACAGACATGTCCCACCATCATGATAATGGACTAAACCTCTGAAAATGTAAGCCGCCCCATTAAATGTTTTCATTTTATAAGAGTTGCTGTGGAGTGATCCTACATTCAAAACAGCTGGACAAAGCAGCTGCAGATTACAGACAGGATTTCTGCATCTTCTTAGAATCCCCCATGACAGAGCCCCTTACCAGCAGGAAGTAGTTTGGAAAGAACGACGTGCAAATTCCCAAATATTGTCTACAAATGTTTGTTTTCAATTAAATGGACTTGGTTATAAAAAATAAACAAATAAATAAATAAATAAAAAGAGTTACTGTAGTAATGGTGGCTCTTCACAGCAATAGAAATCCTAACTATGACATATACATCATGCACATACACTGATAATAAAGCAAAGAAAGTAAATTTTCTAAAGAAAACATAATCATATTTAGGGAAAAAGTTAAAATACAAATTCCCTCATTAATTTGCTAGGGGTTTACAGGACATCTGAGCTTTACTGCTGATCTATGAACCAACCACATCCTCTGTTTCTTATTATCATGTATGCATTCACTTTTCTATATAAAGCATAATTGGGATGCAGGAAATGCTAATTGCAGCCAATTCTGTTTAATCACCTTGATGTAATTTCATTTTCCCAATACAAACAAACACAACTGCTCCCCGCCACTTCAAGCAGAGCATCACACACCTTTTGTTTTATGACTTGGGGAAGATGAGTTACAGATTCAGCCCAGGAAGAGTACCGCTGTTTGTTTCCAGCAGGATTATCCAGCTCCAGGAAACTAAGGTCAGATACAAAGCCAGGACCTCCACCTCTGACAAATGGTTCCCCTTGAAGCTTCCTGCTCTGGCTTCCTAAGCAGGAGGAAACAAGTGAAATATGTCAGCATAAGTCCTCATGCACATATAAAGCAAAATTAACAAGGTAAAAATGCGTGCAAAGTGTGTCAAGTGTTTTTTAAAAAAATCAAAATCTAAAGAGAATAGAATGGACAGACAGAACACAGAGATTGTTAGAGAAGTTAATCCATTCTGTACAACACTACAGTGACTATTATCCATCAAGACATACTTGAAAAAAACCATAAAATATACAACACCAAGAGCAAACCATAATGTTAATGAATATTATATGAGAAGATGAAATGTGATATGTCTATGTAGATTCATCAGTTTCAACCTATTGTTTCACTATAGTACAGCAGCTAGTGTGAGAGGTTTGGGGTCAGGAAGTACATGGCAAATTTTATACTTTCCTCTTGATCGTGCTGTGACTCTCAATGGACATAAAAAAACAAAATTGAAAAACATGCAGCTAAGAATACATGTGGTAGAGCATTTACTAACCCTTGGGAAACCCTGAGCTCATACCTGCACTACATAAAACTAGTTGTGGGAGCAAGCAAGCCTATAATCTCAGCAGTCATTCACAAGGTAGAAAGGATTAGAAATTCAAGGTCATCCTCTACCACATAAAAAGTTGAACATCTACCTGGGATACATGAGACCCTATCTAAGTGATGGTGATGATGATGATGATATTACCTATGGACTGACATAGAGGATATTATAAAATTACTGCTAGTTTTGAATACCTTACTTCAATAAGTATATCATGCATGTTTTGCAGAAGAATATCATTAGAAGAAGCATACATATATTAAAGGATGAAGTATCATGAAGGTGCAGCTTACTTTCAAATAATGCCATATCTTATATAAACATTTCAAATACATGATCATTGATGCTGCTAAATCACCTGTCAATATTATAAATATTTATGTATATTTGTTGTAAAATGTCAAAATAGTAATTTCTATGTACAGGTAATAGGTATGTAAGCAACTACTATGTTCCTTACATTTTCTATATTTGAAATTCTCTGTGATAAAATATTGAAGAAAAAACCAGCCCTAGGTCTAGCATATTAGCAATTTTTTAAAAGCTGTTAATTAATAGGAATACATTACCTAAAATGTGAGAAGTGTTCTGAAGTTTGAATGCTAATTGAGTTCCTATTTTTCTATTTATGTACCTCATAATTTCAGACATATTTTTATCTCCACTTATAATTGGTTCTTACAAAGGTCACAACTAGACATTTCAAATCTTACTGATCACAATTTGAGTGATTTCCACTTCCTTTCTTATAACTGTCCAAATTTTGCAAGTTTGTCAAATGAACACACTGTACTTTTATGAGAAATTATGAAAGCCTAGCATTTTTAATAAATTATTTGAGTGCTTCCTCATTTTCATTGTTAATTCTGGTTTGATATGCAAATAGTCTACTTAATGCAATAGCTCACAAGTTCAAGCCTTGAGCTAATGAATCACCACCAGTTGGGGTGCCTGCAAGTTTCTGAGCTCAAGCAAGACCTACATGCGAATATTTGCACAGGTTGGGAGATGGCTCAGTGGTTAAGAGCACTGACTGCTCTTCCAGGAGATACAGGTTCAATTCCCAACACCCACATGGCAGCTTATATGTCTGTAACTCCAAGATCTGACACTCTCACACAGATACACATGCCAGCAAACCACTAATTAAAATTAAAGTAAATAATCATTGTTTTTAAAAGGAGAAAAAGAATGTCTGAGGTAAAAATGCCCAGAATCTACATTTCCTCTCCTTACCCAAGTGATACATTTGAGCATGAAAGATTGGGACTCACTGCTTTACTGACACACCAGGATAAGATAGGCAGGTTCTATAAAACAGGTGCAATTTTTAAGCTTGTGTGATCTGTCTCCAGACCCCATGAACTGTCTGCTGTGACTAACTCACCCCCCCCCCCAAGAAAGCATGGCAAGTTCAGCAGCAAAAAAAAAAAAATCCATCCACTTACATTTGTAGCAAGCTTTCTTGCTGGCCTATCTTTGGATGCCAGCCTGCAAATAATGACCCGGAGACTTACTATTAATTATAAAAGCTTGGTCTTTGCTTAGGCTTCTTCCTAACTAGTTTTTATAACTTAAATTCATCCATAGTTTTTAATATACATTGTGGTATGTGGTTTATTACCTCACCTACTTCTGCTCATCCTGCTTCCTCCCCATATAGCTGGTGACTCTACCTTTCTTCTTCCTAGAGTTATCTCTGTCCCTGGAAATCCCACCTAACCTCTTCTTGCCCAGCTATTGGTCATCCAGCTCTTTATTAAACCAATCAGAAGGTGCCTTAGGCAGAGACACATCTTTACATTATAAACAAATATTCCACAATATACATTTCATGTTCTTGCTAGATATGATCTTGGGTGATCTCCTTTATTTCAGTGTGTCTGTATTTAGAATGAGAATATAAATTCTAAATATCTTATTGATAAGAGGAGTACATTGGTTAGCCTTTGTAAATCATTAAAAAATGTTCTGGAAGAAAATAAGTTCTATGTGTTTATTAAATACAAACCTATACGACCTAGCAATGGATGAGTCAGTGAGCAGCTTTCTGCTGCTAGCACAATGGACCTCTGCTCTCAACATCTTCCCAGAGCTTCCCTCTTCACCTCTGCATCCAAGGAGCATTTTTCCAAGTGATTCAGAGGGAGCTGAGGGGGATAGTGGGAGGGTCTTTAGGGAGGTAAAATGGGAAGAATTCAAAGGAGAAAAGGGAAGGGAAAATTATGTAATTATATTTTTTAATTAAAGGAAACTGCTCTTTGGCCTACCACTGTAATCAGATTGATGAACACCCCCAACTATAATCATAGAGACTTCATCCAGTAATTAATAGAACCAGACTCAGAACAACCAAGGACCAGTCCGAGTTCCGGGAATCCAGTCAAAGAGACAGAGAAGGGAATATGAGCAAGGCAGATCAAGACCATGATGGAGAAATCTACACAGACAGCTGAACCAAGCTTGTGGAACCTTATGACCTATAACTGTGAAGACTCCGGAGGACTGAACTTGAACTAGGTGAGGGGCTCCTAAAAGTAGGACCATGATACAAACCTTGTACAGGAACTAGCTTGTTAGAGCCCACTCCCTATGATAGGATGCCATGCTTAGCCTTAATGCATGGGAGAGGGGCCTGGTCCTGCCCCAACCTATTGTGCTAGACTATGCTGACTACTCATGGAAGCCCTTACCAGTGAAGAGTAGTCTGGGAGTGGGCTGGAAGGGAGGAGAGGTGGGATAGGAAGAGGTGTGGGAGGGAAAACTGTGATTGAAATGTAAAATGAAATTTAAAAATTAAAAAAAAAAAAACTGTTATTCATTCATTAGCCACCTCAATTCCCTTGAACTGAGTATTTTCCCTGGACTTGTCATCATCATATCTTTGGTGCCTAAGGCCTCTCCCAAAGATCTCTGTTACCTCACTGAACACTACAGTAGCCTAGGTCAGCCTTCATTCCTATTTTTACCCTCATCCCCAAGAAGATTTAAGCTCTAATATTGCCAAGTCCACCGCCTTATAAAAGACACTGGTATCTTGTCTCTCTCCCTCTCATGTGACAGAATCCCTTCCTTCTATGGAAAAACAGCTTTATCTCCACACTAATAGATGCTTTTTTCTGCTCTTGTCTAACTTGATATATTTCTAGCTTTTCAGTACTGACTTCTCATTTCTTTACTTTCCTTCTCCATTTCTCACCTTAGAGTTTATTTTTACTCTGTCCTTCCTCTTTCTCTACAACTCTACCTATGTAAAGCTTCACTTAATTATTTTTGCTTTAATTTGTTTTGATGGCACCCAGAATAAAATTTCAATTCCTTAACACTGTGTCTATATAATCTATATCAGCTGATCTGCATAATACTAACAGCAAAGTTGTAGGGTAAAATATTAACACAGAAAACAGTAGCTCTCCAATATACAAAAGAAATAGACCAAGAAAAAAAATCTGTGAAAATCACCTTTTGCAACTCAAAACAATAAATTATCTCACAATAACTCTAACTCTAAGCAAGCAAGTGAAAGACTCATAATAAAAACCTTAAAATACTGATGAAAGAAATTGAAAAAGATACTAAAATATAAAAAGAACTCTTATGTTCATGGATTGTTAAGAATAATATTGTGAGAATGCCCATTCTACCAAGCGTAATCTACAGATTCAATACAATCCCCATCAAATTCCAACAATCTTCTATTTAACTGTAAAAACACACAAAAAAACCTGAGGAATAATAGGACTCCAAGAGGTGTAGCCATCTAAAATTTCAAGTTATATTACAAAACTCTAATAATAAAAATAGCATGGTATTGCATGAAAACTAACACTCTGATCAATGTAATAAAATTGAAGATCTATACATACATAATCCCATACACTTATGAATAGCTGATTTTTTTCAAAAAGAAGTTAAAAATACAGAGTAGAGAAAATACAACATCTTTGATGAATGGTGATAATTAAAATGAATGGTTCCATGTAGAAGAATGCAAATAAATCCATACTCATTACCCTGAACAAAACTCAATTACAAATGGATCAGGGAATCTCAACATAAGACCAAATACCTGAATCTAAAAGAAGAGTAAGTGGAGAATAGCCTTGAACTCATTGGCACAAGAGATGACTTTCTGAACAGAACACCAATAGCATAGGTACTAAGATAAGCAATTAATAAATGAGACTTCATGAAACTGAAAAGCTTCAGCAAAGGACACCATCATTCAGAAAAAGTAACAGTCTACAGAATAGGAGAAAATCTTTATCAGTTATACATCTAATAGAAGGTTAATATCCAAAATATATAAAGAACTTTTTAAAAATGAACATCAAGGAAAAAAACTCAATTTTAAAATGGTATATAGACCTAAGCAGAGATTATCAAAAAATGAAACATAAATATCTGAGAAACCCTTAAAGAAGTGTTCAACATCCTTAGCCAGTAGAGAAATGAAAATTAAAACTACTTTAAGATTTTATCCTAACCTAGTCAAGATGAACAAGATCAATAATAATTTTAGAAAAAAAATTAAAAAAAATAACTCACGTTGGTGATGATAACATTCATCCATTGCTAGTGGAAATACAAACTTGTACAGCCACTATGGATAGAAGTGTGGGGTTCGTCAGGAATCTGGGAATAGATCTACCTCAAGATCTAGGTATAACATTCTTGGGGCACATGCATAAAGGACTCTATAGCTTACTGTACAGATACTTGTTTGTCCATGTTCATTGATACTCTATTCATAATAGCCAGAAATTGGAAACAAACTAGATGTTCATCAACAGATGAATGATTAATGAAAATATGGTACATTTACACAATGGAATATTATTCAGCTGTTTAAATTTACATGTAATGAATAGAGTTAGAAGTTTACATGTAAATGAATAGGGTTAGAAAAATCATCCTAAGTGAGATAGATAACTGAGACTACAAAAGATAAATTCCACATGTGAATGTTCACCAAGTGTGCTACAACTGGAATAATCACAGAGGTTGGGTGCTTAGTTAGGCACCAGAAAAGAGGAGAAGTTCTTCCAAGTAAAGTGAAATAGAATATAGTATTATGGGCAGATAAAGGGGAAACTAGTATAAAATGATTAAACAGGAAGGGGGATGAGAGAGAGAGGAATATAGGGAAAGACAAAGACATCACTAAAGGCCATTTGGAAAAACATGGAAATCTGCTACTATTGAAGCTCTCTAAGCTTGTGTGTGTGTGTGTGTGTGTGTGTGTGTGTGTGTGTGTGTGTGTGTGTGTAATGTAAATGGAATCACTAAATAATAGGTGAAAGAAGGCCCCAACTAGAAATCTTATGCCACTAAGTAATAGCTCCAGTTCCAGGAGTGAGTTACATCTTCTTGAGTTGTTGGCCAAAAGGGCCCCATGAAAACCTCCAAACATCACAGGCTATTGCTAAGGCTTTTGGTTGCTCTCCACAGCTTGATGGTGAGGCTCTGTTGCTGAGTATAACATTTACTTATGTTATTGAGATTGGAGAAGATGAACTGATGACTAACTAGAAGCTTCACCCCTACTAACTAGCATTCACTGTGGTAGAAGTTACTCTGTAGACTACTGAAGGAGAAAGGTAACCATCAATATCACCCAACTACAAACATTTCAACCTACAATTGTGAACTACAAGTAAGATTATTGGTGCAATAGTTGTATAAAGGTTATGGCAGTAATGAACCACTTTTGGCTGGATTTAAGGCCCACCCTATGAGATGGAACCCATACCTAACACTGCTACAATGGCCAAGAGCCAGAAAAAAGACAGGTCATTGGCCTCGGGGAAAACCTACTATTATTCTGCTAAAGAAACATAGCAATAAAATGACTTCTAAAGATATACTGTTAAACACATAGACTAGATATAGTTCAACACTCCCTTGTCAGAGGACCTTTTTCTTGCAGTGGATGGGAATTAACACAGAGACCCCCCCCAACTGGAAAACGTGCAAGAAGTAACAGACCTTAGAGAACTCAGTCCTAAATGAAATGTCTTATCAAGCTCCTCCCCTCAAGACTCGGGGATCTATGAGGAAGAGGAAGTGGAAAGATTTAAGAGCCAGCCATGATGGATAGCTGCAAGGAAACAGTGTCTTCCAGACACAACAGGGTGGGTGCACATATGACTTCACAAAATCTGCACAGATTCTGGCCAGACAGGGTCCCATCGATGAAATGAGAGTGCATGTGTGACATTCTGATCTTCTACAAAGATTAGAATATTACATACTATTATGTCTCCCATTATGATTAATTCAGCGGAATCTACCAATCACCTAACCACGAGACCACCCCTCAGAAAGGCTCATTCACATTAAGGCAAGCTAAAGAGATGGAATAATTATCCCCTTGGTGACATAATGCACTTTTGCTTCACAAAAACTTTGTCTTTGGTGCAGTCTCTTACATGGACGCTCCTATACAGCTCTGCTGTGTCTGCCTGTTTTCCTTAGTCCCAACTCCAAAGAGTATAACTGTTCTTCTCCATGTTCTTTCTGACCTCTGCCAAAGCCTCAATATGTTTGCTCTGGCATTTTGACACTTTCCCTCCCTTTCTCTACAACCATCCAACCACACACTTTCTGCCATGTAGCTCCACTGCTGAGCACGTTCAAAGGCTTTCTCTCTTCTTTTTCTCCATAGCCCTCCTCTAACAGCTGGCAGTTTATAGCCTATCTTCCCTGTTATATTCTTTTGATCTCTAATAATACTGTCCACAGGCTTCCTAATCAGTCCATTTTTAAATTCTTTAATCAACAATACTAGGAAACTAAAGAGGTCCTAATTTCCCTGGTCCTACATAGTGCCCAACATGGAGGTCCCCAAATCTTCTGGTGACAGAAAGATAACATGAGACCAGAGATTCAAGTAAGATTAGTGACATAGTGAGAACCTATCTCAAAAAAAGGAAGAAAATACAATAATAAAAAACAAAACAAGATATAAAAATGACCAAATACATTTTTTAAACAGAACACCTGCTAAAGATTAAAAGCCCTAGAGACCAAAAATTAATTAATTACAAGATGATCAAGGCTAAGTTAGTAATGTAAATTTGACTCTTCCTTATTTACCTGAAGTTGATTTGAAAGCTTTATCCAGTTCCTTGCATCTCTTATCCGATGTGCCCACAAAAAAAGACCGTAAATCCGAAGAAGAACATTCCTTCCCCTGGGCTGCTTCAAAACCTGGGAAGAAATTCAAACGGCAAGTTTCTGTGTTCATTAAAGAAGTTCTTTGCAGTATAGATGGGGGGGGGGGGTTAGAAGTGGTCTCCTGTTGTCTGTGGCAATTAACTAAAGAGTAACAAAATACGAGCAGTTTCAAGTGCTCTCTAAGAGTGAAGTTCAGAAAAGAGGATACTTGGATTTCATTATTTTCCTCCTATTAGCTTTGGCTAAAAGGTTCAGGTGGGGAGAAATCCCAAGTAATTTTCACATAAATGGGTAGAGTGAGTGGAAATTAAAACTTCAAAGAGTTGTATCTCTTACTCACTGTCAGTTTCTTAGTAATAAAGCAAATAAATAAACTCAGGAGTATGAGGGCTTCCCACTCACTGGAGATTCTAAAAGCTGAATTCTAAAAGCTGAGCCAATATAAATTAATTCCTAAACTCCTGGCCCTACTCACTTGGCCTCTTGGTTAGTATCTGGTTCCTAATGAAAAGGATTAGGAGCAAGATAAACCTCCTTTGTAGGCAGTTTGGTTGGGGGTACAAGCCTAAAGAGAACAAATGTCTACACACCCTGGTGGTAGACATTTGTCAATATCATGAGAATCAAGGCTCAAATAGAGGCTCCATTTAGCTGAGGACAAAAGCTCTGACTCATCATGAATATAATTGATGTTGTCAATAGTGCAAATCTCTGCAGTATGCTGACTACAAGTCTTTTGCTTATATATCCAGTAGTGGCATAGCTGGATCATATGGTAGACGATTTTAAATTTTTCAATACTGATTTCCACAGTAGTTGGGTGAATTGATGGCCCTATCTTCACTGTACTGGGCTACTTTCTCTATATCCTCAATAACCTTTATTGTTTTCTTAATGATTGCTTTTCTCCCTGGAGTAAAACAGAATCTCAACATAGTTGTAATCTACATGTAAATGCCACAAAATCTCAGATTTAGGAGTGAAACTAAATTTATATCAAACCATATGCAAGAATAATCTTTCAAAGAAATAATGCCTTTGTCTGCTACAAAAAAAAAAAAACAATATTTGTGCATTTGTTTTCAACCTATGAAACAAGAGTTCAAACTCTATTTAGATTTAACTGGTAGGAAACTAAAAAGGTCCAGTGGAATCAAGGAAAATATTATAATTACCCTCTAAGAAAAAACAATAAGCTCCACTTAAATCCCATGTAAGAATTCTTATTTATCTTTAAGCTCTTAACAGAAACTTTACTGAAGTCAAACACCTTGAAGAAACGGGTTAAAATGAAGGAAGTGTGGGCAACTACACAAGGTGAAAGGGAAGGTTTGACATGAAACATGAGTTAGGCAGAGAATTCTCTGGGGAGAAGGAATAGTGAAAATGGTCCTCATCTGAGCAGCTGGTGAGGGCTGTCATTTCCAGCTGGAACCCACAAAGCAAAAATCCCAGTGGCATGTACATTTTCTAACAAAATCAGTCACCTTTAGGAGCACAGGGAGAAAGCTAGGTTGATTATGGTACCAGTTCATTCTGACTTCAAATCCTTCCCTTGCAATATGTGACCTCAAAAAGTTGATTCATAACACCAAGTCTCTGTTTCTCAGTGGGGGGTGGGGCTGCAATGGATCATAGTGCCCAACTCATGAGATGGAAGTGAGGATTTTGGGTATCATGTGACTTAGTTCTCATCAACTAAGCAAAAACTATCATCACCTTGAGAGAGGGAGCCTTGATTGAGGAATTGCCTCCATCAGATTGGCCTATCTTTGAGGGCATGTTTTATGAATAATTGATACAGGAGGACCCAGCTTATTATGGAGTGCCACCCAGGGCAGGTGTTTATGAGATGTATAAAAAAAGCAAGCTGAACAAGCTAGGTAAGACAAGCCAGTAAGCAACATTCCTCCATAGTCTCTACCTCTGTTCCTGCCTCTAGTTTCCTGTCTTCACATTCTTGTTTCATTTCACTTGATGATGAACTGTATAACCCCCCCAAATAATGCCCTCCAAAAAATAAAGATTGTTTAAAAGACACCAGGAAATTTGAAGGCAAATGTATTGAACTAGAGAAAATCATCCTGAGTGAGGTAATCTAGACTGAGAAAGACAAACATGGTATGTACTAACTCATAAGTGGATTTTAGCTGTAAAATAAAGGATAACTACAATAGAATCCACAGACCTAGAGAGACTAGGTAACAAAGAGGGTTCGTTGGGAAGATGTCCAGATCTCCTTAACAACAAAACAGATTTTGTGAATGAACTGAGGTGAGGATGGAAACATTAGTTAACAGGTTGTGGGGTGGAGAGGGGTAGAACTGAAAGAGACTACTGGAAAGGGGGTGGACATTTGGTGGTCAGGTAAAAACCTGGTGCAAAGTAATGTCCCAGTCATCTACAAGGACAACCCCAGCTAAGACTCCTAGCAATAGCAGATACATAGCGTGAAGTGGCCATTTCCTGGGACCTAGCCCATCTGTCATCAAAGAGGCTTCCTCCAGCAACTAACAGAAATAGATACAGACCCACAGCCAAACATTAGCCAGAGTTCATGCAATCCTGCAGAAGATGGGGAGAAAAGACTGTAGGATTCAGAGAGGTCAAGGATATCACAAGAAAACCCATAGAATCTAACCTGGGTTCATAGAGGCTCACAGAGACTGAACAAATAATCAGGGAGCCTGCAGGGAACTGACCTAGGCACTCTGCATATATGTTAAAGTTGCATAGTCCTCTTGTGGGACTCCTAACAGTGGGAACAGGAGCTACCTCCAACTCTCTTTTGGAACCCTACTCCTCATACTGGGTCGCCTTACCCAGCCTTAATACATGGGGAAGTGCTTAGTCTTACTACAACTTGATATGTTTTGTTGACACTCATGGGAAACCTGTCCTTTCCTAAACAGAAACGGAGGGGGAGTGGACTGGAGTGGGGTTGGAGGAGCTTCAAGGAGAGAAAGGAGGAGAAACTGCAGCAGGTGGTAAAATAAATTCATTTTTAAAAAAAACAGGAAATACTGTTTAATCTTTGCAAAAAATCCTGGTGGAGACAAAAAGAACTCTATTCATTACTGTTGGGAATGTATAGCCCTAGTACAAAACAGGATGAAGCCACCATACATGCCTCCATCACTCCTGGTACTCCTATATCCTAAGGACTGACTCTTTGTCAATATACTGAGAGATGCATGCACATCCATGTTTATTGTGACATTATTCACGTTGCAATAGAAGGATATGGAACCAGACTAAATATTCATTGGCAGATAAATGGATAAAGAAAATGTGCATAAGCACAACGGAATTTTATTCTGCTAGAAAGAAAAATGAATAAAATTATGACATTTGTAGGAAAATTGAAGAAACTAGAAATCATCGTGTTAAGTAAAATAAGCCAAAATTGGAAAGACACATGCTAATAGTTTTCCTTCTGTGGAACCTAGATTTAGATATGGGAAGTGTAGGGAGAAAGAGAGGGGAGAACTAGAAATGGGCCCAGGACAGAAGCAATGATCTTGGGGAAGGAAAGTGATGGAATATATGTGACACAAAAGTAAAGGGACTATTATAGGAGGTGGTAATAGATAAGAAGAGGGCTGTGGGGTGCAGAGAAAATGCCATGAACAAGGGGTATAAATAGGAACAAAATATGCATGAAGGTATGTAACAAAACCATTGCTTTGTATGTAACAAAACCATCTTAGACATCTATTTTTTTTTTTAAAAAAAAAAAAGCATTTTTTAATTGTGGAAAAGGGAAAGATTGTAAATTATTATAAAGTCTAACTCTCTGGAGAGAGTTGATGATGGTAATGGTTGAACTTGATATTATTCAAAAAAGTAGGCAGACAATTCTTAATCCATGGAAGACTTTAAGTAGAGTATAACAGACACCTGCAATATTGGATTCCTCTACAGTTTAAATCTCTATCAAATTTTGCAGCTTAAAGGTTTAAGCTAGACTGGAGAGATGGCTCAGAGGTTAAAAGCACAGCTGCTCTTAACCACATGGTAGCTCACAGCCATCTGTAATGAGATCTGACGCCCTCTTCTGTCCTGTAAGCATACCTGCAGACAGAATACTGTATACACAATACATAAATCTTTTAAAAAAGAAAAAGTTTAAGCTAACCATGTGTATTTTTCTATTTAAACTCTTTAGATGTTTTCAGGTAACACGTTTAACACCATACCACTGTGTTTGCTATATCCTGAGTCCATATAAAACAGAACTTTGTATTCTCCTCCTAAGGACCCGGACTGTAGATAGTGTGTCCCATACTGATCAATTAGCTGTCGGTAGGCACTGTAGTCATATAGAGTGGGAAGATGGGAGAGTTCCTTCCAGAATGGCTCAGCAAGTTGTAAAAATTCAGGATTATTGTTAATGAACTGGGCCACTTCAACACTGTTCCGAACAACCAACAATTTATAACTCTGTGGGGGAAAAAGAAAGATCAAAAACAGTTTTAGGTGGAAGATGAAAAGATATGAAAAATAGTTCCCTATCCATCATCTTGATCAGCTACCAATTCCTGTCACCCAGTGTAATTTTTCTCAAGATGTAATGAGGTTTCTTCTGAGCTCATCTTCATGAAGTAACGTGAAGAATTCTGGATCCCAAATACAGATGATATCTGAGCAATGCTTATCTCAACTAGGAAAAGGGAGCTGACTACATTACACCTGCTAAACTAGTTTTGAAGAAAAGTGTTCAGAGTACTATATTTTTGAGTCACATTTTGACTTACAGGTAAGGAGAATATATTACTTATCTCCCATACTGGGATATTTATAGGTTAAGCTATTTATTTAATGAGGTCTTTTGAACATTTGCTAATAATCTTTTAATAATTTTCTAAGCAGACCTTGCACTAAATCCCTACAATGGGAGCAGTGTAATACAGAGATGATAAACATCTTAACTCATTCATATTCCATAACCAGTTTCTTAGTTATAAAACAAATGTCTGTTTTCCTCATGCTGCCCTTTCATGACTAAACAAACTGACAGCTTTACAGTTAGTGTCTATTAACCCAGAACTCTGAATCTTGCCTGAAAAAAAAGAGAAAAAAAGAAAGGAAGGAGGCAGGGAGGGAGGGAATGTGGCAGAGAAGGAAAGGAGAAAGAGAGGGAGGAAAAGAAGGAGACAAAGGAAAATAAATAACGAACGAAGCCAGGCACACTGGTTCACACCTATAATCCCATCACTTGAAAGGTGGAAGCAAGAAGATCAGTAGTTAAAAGCTAGCCTCAGCTTTGAGGGCAAACTAAGACTACACAAGACTATCTCAAATAATATTAGTAATAATAATAACAAAAACAAATATTTAATGAGAAAAAAGATAAATATATTGTCAAAAAATAACAAAAATATCATACTTTCAAATAATTCATTGACTCTTAAAGTAGTTGTTTTTGCCTTAATGTAATCAGAAAACTAGTACTTTTGACAAATACACTTTTGTTAATGTTAACACTTAATACCAGTTAAGAACAGAGAAAAAAAGATAGTTAACATTTCATACTAACCTTTTTCATGTAAATTTCCTTGGTCTTTGAGTTATGACTGTTATGATCAGATGAGGAAGAGAAAAATAAGAACTTGCTTGATGAAGATGATTTATATTCTCTGGATGTGTGCTTTATATAAGACCAGCTGCTGTTGTAAAACTCATAGTCAAAATCATTATTTATTTTGACCTGTAAGGAAAAGAATTTCTACTATAACAAAGTAAGGGGGTAGTATATATATCAAAGATGCTTTTTTGTATCATTTAATATGCATGTTTTCAGGGCTGGAGAAATGGCTCAGCAGTTAAGAGCACTGACCAACCTTCCGGGTTGAATTCCCAGCACCCACAAGGCAGCTAACAACTATCTGTAACTCCAAGATCTGACACCCTTACACAGACATACATGCAGGCAATACACCAATGCACATAAAATAAAAATAAATAAATATAAATAAATAAACAAATAAATACATTTTTTAAAAGGATGCCTGCTTTCTTCACACAGTCTCCCACAAATATAAGTCTCTACACTTAACACAAAACAACTGTGACTGTCATCAAAGTTGGGCTTGTCTACAGAAAGCATTTGTCCTAAGACAATTCTGCTGCACAGGAGCTATAGTATCAATAACAGAAACTCCACATGACTCAACAAAACACATTTATCCCCAAATATATTGTTTTCTTTACTCAGCATTTAACTCAGAAGTGAGCAAATTCATACAGCTATATCAACAGAGAACTTGCAGCATTCAACTCTTGAAAGAAAGGACATCAGCAGAAGAGGAGGGAACAGAGATGATAATGTAAGTGAATATGAGCAAAACAGGATGACAGACATGTCTGAAAATATCATGATACAAGTGTTGCAGCTCACAGGGGCAATCCCATCACTTCAAAGGCTGAGGCAGGTGGATTATGACACATTTGAGGCTGGGCTACTTTGTGAGTTCCAGGCCAGCTTAAGTTACAGAGTGAGACTATCTCAAAGAAAGAAAAATAAACAAAGATGGAAAGTATTGTAATAAAACATTGTTTAGTAGGCACACATACTAAACACAGAAATCAAGAGGTTTTCAGAGAGAAGACACTGGCACGGGAAGAACTATGAAGGCTAAACTGAAACAGGAAGGCGGTAAAAAGCAAATGAAAAGTACTGATGGAAAGAGAATAAGTTGAAGAACAAGTCTCCATGATGTTGAATGATGGATGTGTCAATAATAAATTGAGTCCCAAATACCTTGGAATGCTATTGTGTTGGGTGTTGAAATTGGTGACTGGGAGAATCTGTTATCTGAGGTAGAAGAAAGACAATTAATAAAAATCACACTATCTTGAAAAAGATCATGGTTGCAGCCATGGGTGGGGTACATAAAAGTGAGAAGAGGTTGCAGCAAACAAGCCAAGAGTATTATTGCATAATCAGGAATCAGAGATTTGAATTGTAGATTTGAAGGTGGAAGAAAAGAAACAAAATATTTGACATTAGATTCATATTTCTCAAAAGAAATACAAATAAAAACAACCTAAATATTGTTTATATGAAACAAAACGGCACAGGAACATTACTGTAGACACCTTCATGGTTATGTTATTACTTTTTTTGTGAATGTTTGTGTTTCCAGTAGCCTATTGTATGTGAAAAGTATGAATAAATAGAGAACGTGGATGACAAGGTTAGTAGCTTAGTCAAGAGGAAACCAGGCTTTATGTAAAAGTCTGCATTGCTAATAACATGCAGATTATAAGTGATCATACATGCTTTATGCTTACTAATATTGATGTCCCATATGAGTCAGAAGCCACCCTCTATGCTGTGGAGAGCTGATCACACAGTGAGTCCTGGGTCAGTTTATTTGAACTCTGGGGAGCTCTTGTGGCCCCATCTCCACATCTGCATTTAGCACTCAGATGACTGGCTCACTGCCTGTTGCTTCCGCCTCACTTAGCTCAGGCTGGATTTGCAAATCATTGCTATTCTGCACTCAGTAACAGGCTATAATTTCCCTCTACTTTTGACAAACACCTTCAGTTTCAGTGACAGGAAAGGCATTTCAGACGTCAATCCCCACATCAAGCCCTGCTGAGGAAAGTGAATGTCAGGATCATGCTGTCGTTAAATCACTCGCTCCAGAGGCCACGGGCTTCTAGCATGTCTCCTTCCAACTAACTCAAAAATATTCTTCCTCATTATTTCCTCTCTTCTGTGATGTTCTAAATTTGACCCTTTTGAATGCAATCTCTCTCCCTTATAATTATGCAAGAATTAGTAACGTATTCTTCCAGGAATATGAAGTTGAACAATAATTATTAGTATCTACATGCCCATATCTCACGTTCTCCCTCCTAGTCAGAAGTTAAATTATAATACATGCTATTTATTATATCGAATTCAGAATTGAAAAAGAAAGTAAGTGCAAGAAATGAGGAAAAGAAAATGTAACAGAAAAATTAAGGGCTGCAGAATCTGACTCTCTTGATCTAGATTACACTGTCTTAATGTGGTAATGTGAAATAAGCCAAAGTCTCCCAAGCCTAAATTTACACATGACATACTAGCAAAATATTACCTTCCAAGAACAGTGCAAGGATTAAATCTATACCTGTTGCTTTAAAAAAAAAAAAAAAGAGCAAATACCGAGTAGATATTCAAAAGTTGGCAGTTATACATGTTTCTCAAGTCAGTTTTATGTCATGCTTACTTGGCTTGATAACCTTTTTGTTAGCATATTGCAAATGCACAAAAGTTAGAGGTTTTATTATGGCATTTCCATACACAAATATTATGCACTTATGTCATATCCATCCCCTCTATTATTTGCTTTTATTCCTCTTCTCCCTCCAGCCTTTCCTATCCATAGGACTCCTTTAGTTCCAGGATTTAATAAGCATTCACCTGTAACTAACTCATTGGAGGTTAAGGCTTAGTACTCAGTCAAAGCTGCTTCTCTGAGGCCTCCTGTGAGTGGGCAGAAGGTTATCCAGTCTCAACAGCAGTCACTTTTGTTTGGGAAAAAAAATGAAAGTTAAATGGAGGGATAACTCAACTGAAAATTCAGAGAACTCTGAGATGAAGGAAAAGAGTAAGAAGGTAGCTGTGGGAAAATGAAACCAACAAAGAGGTTAAGACAGAATGGCACCATAAACTCCACTTTGGTGAGGCTGTGAAGGAAGTTTTGAGGGTTGGGATACGAACTGGAATGGGTGGAATGTGTTCAGTGTAAAACCCTCCTCCTTCACCCAAATCCTCAGCGAAGTTTCCAAAATCCTTAAGTATTTTGTTTTGGTGTTGGTATCCAGATTTGGTGTTGGTATACAGAATCAGGATGAGAACAACAGGAGCATCTGAAGAGCAGGAGCTTGGAGCAAGAGGGACTCTGATCAAAGCAAAGATGATTAGTCAGGTAGAACCAGTATGGACAGCATGGAGCCATGACTACTTTTCCACACTGCTGTTAGAATATCATCTGAAGCTCCCATTGTGGCATCATAGTAAAGTTTCATTGTGCAGATCCTACAAAAGGGTGATTCAAGTGGTAAGTGTACAACCCAAAGAATTTGTGTAAGATTCATGCACAGGTAGGTTGGAAGCATTTTCATAAGAAAAGAAATGGCAACAGGAATAAAAGTTTCATCTTCATGAACATGAATAAATCTCAAAAACATATTTTAGCAAGAAAAAAATAAGTCATAAAATTATTATTACTCTATTTCTGTAAATGGCAAAAGCAGGCAAAACTAAGTCACAAGCAGTTGTTTAGAGACACATAGGTACATGTAGATATATATGTGCTAAACATTCAGAGCAAAACAAGGAAAGTATTAGTACAAAACACATATCGGTGGCTTTCCTGGTGTTATCAAGGATGAGTGGGTAGGGGGCTGTGAGTCACTGGGTATACTCTACTTCAACATGTATATTAGAAATACATAGGCATTTCCTGGTCAAGGCCAGGCTGGAGAAACCCACTGAAACAGCTGACCTAAACAAGGAGCTCAGGGAACTTAGACAGATAGTTGGGGAACCAGCATAGAACCCACCTAGACCCCCTGAACTTTGGTGTCAGTTACGAGGCCTGGGCAATCTATGAGGCCTCTGATGGTGGAGCAGTATTTATCCCTAGTACACAAACGGACTTTGGGAGCCTGTTCCACACAGAGGGATACTCTCTCAGCCTAGACACATGGGGGATGGCCTAGGCCCTGCTCCAAACGATGTGACAGACTTTAAAGATCTCCCATGGAAGGCCTAACCCTCCCTGGGATACAGAAAGGGGATGAAATAGGGGGTTGGTGGGGGCCAGCAGAGGAGGGAAGGGAGAGGAAACTGGGATTGACATGTAAAACAATATTGTTTGTAATAGAAATTTAAAAAAAAAAAGATCTAGCAGCCAAAATTGCAGTATGAATAATGGAGGGGCTTACAAAGTCTTATCCCTAGCTGGGGAGCTATTGGCAATTGCTGGCTCCTGGGAGAGGTAAAGATGTGGAACCCGAGAGGCTACCCATATTCCATTAGATGGCTCCACGCCCATGAAAATACATACAGCAGTAAATGGACTCCGTGGTTTAGGTTTTGTTTTTTCTAACAAACAGTACATGAAGTTGGAAAGCAAAAGTAAGAATAGTAGGTGCGGAATTACTGAGAAGGGAATGATGATATCAAAACAGTATTATATTATAATATGTATTATATATGTGAGTATGCATACATATGAAATTTTAAAATAATAAACCAACTGACCACATATTAAGCCATAAGTGAATTCCCAGCAAGTAGTAAAATCTTGATGCATATAAACAATGATTGCTGACAAGTCACAGATTACAATGAAGTAAATTGGTGTAATTAAGTACCTGAAATGTATAGGAGAGGATATTTCCACTCAGTCTGTAGAAGTCTTTTCCATCCCCACTGAACACTTTCCGGCATTGACCACCGAAACTTTTGGTGTTGAGGACTCTGTTCCTGAACTGGCCTGTGAGTGCATTGTAACTGTGAGGAGGGGGAGGGAGGAGGTGGATGCACAGGATGGGGGTGGGGGATAATTAAAAACCAGTATTAATACCTGCTCGAGAGAAAAGAATGGGTAAAGCCTGTAGAAATCAATCATTAAAATCCTTCACAGTTCAATACCTGAGAAGGAGCAATACCCTAATGCCAGCTACTCCTGATGGAGTAGCAGAGGAAATCTAACATCCTGTCAGCCTAAGAACATATTTGGAGAGTGCAGGCCTGTGGTATCTATGGCAACAGTTGCATTAGAATTGATTCTATAGATAAAACCAATACAATTAAGGTTACTGGGGAGCAGAGATTGCTTTCTACTGGAGTTCCCAGCTCGTCCTCTTAGCACGCTGAAGAGTGTTCCTTAAAGTAACTATGCCTCTTTTTTGTTAATGTACTTGAAGCTATTGAAGGGAAATTCACATTGATTTTTCTAAAATAGGTTATTTTAGAAAATAGAAGCCTAGAATTGGCAATCTTAATTTTTAAAAAAAAATCTCCTTTTTGCTTTCAACTATGTCTGCTCCTTCTCCTCCTCTTCTGTCTCCCTCCCGATCTCTCATTTCTTTGTTTCTCTCTCCTCCTTTTCCTCCTCTTAGAATAACCAACTCTCCAGATCTCCGTGGTTCAGAGAAGTTCTCATTGATATGAGATGTTCAGTGATGAATCCGGTGTGGCTGGAACAACAGCTGGCTCTACACTTTTACCACATGTGTCTATAGGTACTCAGCTATGAATTTTTCATTGGAGCAGGATGTGGCAAAAATATCTGAGCTTATTATTAGAGTCACCAAGCCACAAAACAGAGCAAGAGTAAAAACTACAACCCATTGGTATTCTTGGAAGTCCTCTCAGCACCTTACCCATTGCCGGTAAGTTCTATGTTGGGAGGAGGTTTATCGATGTCACAGGAAGGTCTGCTTTCTGCATCCTCACATCTGTCTTCATCAGCACTATCTTCTTCACAGTCAGAATCCCCATTGCAAACCAAGGATCTGCTGATGCACTGGCCTGAACAAGAGAAAAGCTCCCAGAAAATATAAGAGGGAAAATGGAAGAACAATGGCTGGGATTACCCCAGCACTACAGATAGACTCATGTGGAACTCAGACAAACCTTCAGATTGTCTAGAACAGAACTAGTGATAGTTTTGATCTCCATTTTGAAACACACAGAACTGGTTTTCACCTTCTCTGGGTGCAAATTGAAAATAGACCTGAACTCAAAAGTCCAAAATCAAAGCTGTAATCATCAAGCATTTTTGTCTACATCCTCCAAGTCCCACACGATGCTACTTACTTACTGGCAAAACAGATGTCCTATCCATTGACTTTTTTTTTATTTTGTTTCTGTAGTTGTTCACCTAGATGCTAAACTTGTGCTTTTCTTGGAGACTAAGATGTATAATTTGTTAGAGCAAAGATACTAGAGAAGGGCTGGAGAGATGGCTCAGGGATTAAAAGCACTGACTGTTATCCCAGAAGACCCTAGTTCAATTCCCAGTACCCACATGGCAGCTTACAACCCATGGCAAAACACCAATGCACATAAAATAAAAATGAATACTTTTTTTTAAAAAAGAAACTAGATCAAAATGTTGAAACTCTGTTTTTCAGCATCTACTCTGTGGAAGACTTCCTGGCGTTGAGAAACAAATATGTATGGTATGGTCATTGCCAGACTTTTCATATGAAGTATAATCTGCTGAAAATATCACTGCTATGATAATTCAGAATACTGAGACAGCATCAGTGGGTACCAAATAACTTTGGCCCTGTCTTTCTCCCCAGCATCATCCCACCCTTTTCTTTACCAGCCTTCCTATGCTCTCATATTGGACCATGTGTATGAGTGCAGGTCCAAGTTTTCTGTCATTTCAGTTACTTAATACTTCCTCCTCTCTGTCTAGAAGGATTCTCTCTACTCCTCTCTGATGTCTTTCAAATATTAAATTAAATATTATCTCATTTTGAAAACTATCCAAATCCTTCTGACTATGCAGGTCATTCTTCCTCTATTTCTTCAAAGGATGCTTTGCACACAGAAATGTTCACAGTACAGCATGTAGCTCACTCTATGTATCACTCAAGGCAATAAAACAAACATCTGTTGAGAGTCTGCCTGTGTTCCAGGCATTCCTCATGAGAAAATAAAATAGAGCTTATGTCTACAAAACTTCAGAGAGATATACAGGCCAAAAATTTGGATTATGGAAAGTGTAAGATACACAGTGAGCACAGAGAAGTGATTTCTTGGTTAATTCTGTCTCCTGGTGGATTAGCAAAGGCTTCCCAAAGCAGTTATCACTTGATTTGAGTTTTCAAAATTAAATAGGAGCTTTACAAGTACTGTAAGAACAACTGTAAGCCTTGATGCAGTCAGTCCTAAATGAAACATCTTTATCAAAGCCCTCAGTACTAAGGGATCTATGCAGAAGAGGAAGTAAAATAACTATAAGGGTTAGATTAGATGAACGACCCCAAGCAAACAGCATTTTCTGAGCAAAAAAATGCAAGTAAATGTATGTATGTATGTATGTATGTATGTATACACACATGCATATATATACATATACACATACATACACTATATATATATATATATATATATATATATATATGACAACATGCACAAGACCTGCATAAGTTCAGGTCAAACAGGGTCCCAACACTGAAAAGGGAAAGTGGACACAGGACTCCACTCCTACTAAGAAGCTATTTGCAATTTAAACCCAGTAGCAAAGGTGTTATGAACAGTTTTTCCACCTGCCTGGTCCCACAGCCGCACCAGCCCCAAATAACACATAAAGACGCCATATTAGATATAAAGCTATTGGTCTGTTACTAGAATTGGCTAGCTCTACCTTAAATATTAACCCATTTCTAGTTAGCTAAGTATCTCCAAGTGGTCTTGGGTTACCGGAGAGAGGGTCAGAACCTCTGCTGCCTTGGTCCTACATGTTGAATCTCCTCCTACCTCTCCCAGAAACCTCCTTGTCTCCTCGTCCCACCTATCTTGCTTTCCTATGGCCAACAGTGCTTTATTTATTAACCAATAAGAGAAGCATATTAACAAAATGACATCTCCCATCATCTCTTTTCTGTCTAAAATAAAAAAGGATTTTAACATTAATATAGCAAAATATATAACAAAACAGTTATCAAATAAGAACCATAGTTAACAATGTTCAATCCATTAACATTTAGCAAGATGTAAATAAAATATTTTATCATCTATCCTATCTTTGTGAGTCTAAAGTCCCATATGTAAATTATCTTTACTACTAAGGAAAACTATAACCATAACTATCTGTCTTCAACTCCGTCAAAGACCACAGAAGGATAATATATAAACTCTAGAAATGACAGAGACATTTTACTACCTGGTTAGTCATCCAAACATCTATAATGTTTTATCTTTAGCCTATAGGCCATAGTGTGTCTGGCAGACTCCTCAGCAAAGCAAGAAATTTCAAAATGTCCCACCTGTGTTGGCAGTTTGTTAGTCACTTTTCTCTGTGTCCTGTAGACTGCCTGGCAGACTCTTCTATGAAGCAGGAACCCTGTAGCAATGTCCATCTTGTATCAGCAGTCACTTTCCTGTGGATCCTGGATGTCCAGTTTATACAGCATAAAGTCAAACAGTCCAGACAAGAGCAATATCTTGCCCAAATGGCTAGCTTTTCCATGTTGGACGTAAACTCCATAACGAGTTTCTTTGATGTCCATCTTCCTTTCTAACGCAGGTGGTGTTGCCAGGAGCAGTTGTGCCTCATTGTTAGGAAAAACCCTAAACCATTTATAAATGCCATATTCTGTAGGTCTTTGAAAGTTTTGAAGAATGCCTATCCATCTCAAATACATCTCTGTATATCTTGAAAACCTAAGTTAACTGTAAGTTTTGACTATCATAGGTAATTATAATCTGTACTATTATTTGTAATATACATATTACAAAATTGACCATAAATTTGTATCAATAAATGAAAGTCCATTCCAAAACAAAGTAATCATTTCTATACCAAAAAGCGGAAATAGTTTTTCTTCAGTGAAGTGATACTTGCTATATCAACCACACTCTAAGACAGGCCTATCTCAGCTGTAGCTGGCCAACACAAAAAAAGTCTCCATGATTTCCTGAGTGATTTCTGTTGTTAGGGTTTTGTGGGTTTTATCCTTTTTAGATTTTTTTTTTAATTGTCTTGGTTTTTTGTTATTTTTTTAAGAGGGAGAGAGAACATGAAATTGGGTGTGGGGAGGTGGAGGATGATCTGAGAGGACTTGGGGAAGAGAAAGAATATGATCTAGTATATTGTATGAAAATTTGTAAAAATAATAAGTAAAAGAAAAATTCTAACACACTGAGTTTTTTATCTACTAATCTGTCCTTAAAACTCCCATATGTTGCAGAGTAATGGCACAGAGCTTTAAGCCTAGAACTTGAGAGACAGAAACAAAAGAATCCCTCAGTTCAAGGCCAACCTCATCTACAGAGTAGAGTAAGTTCCAGAACAACCAGGGATACACAGAAAAATCCTCTCTCAGAAAAAAAAAATTACAAAACAAAAATCTTTTTTTTTGTTTTTTGTTTTGTTGTTGTTATTGTTATTGCTGTTTGAGGCAGGATTTCTCTGTGTAATAGCCCTGATTGTCCTGGAACTCACTCTGTAGATGAGGCCGGCCTTGAACTCACAGAGATCCACCTGCTTTTGCCTCCCAAGTGCTGGGATTAAAGGCCTGTGCAACAGCTAATAAGCTGGTTTTTTGTTGGGTGTGGTGGTTCACATCTATAACCTCAGCACTGGGAATGTGGGAGATTAGAAGTTCAAAATCATTCTCTGCTATATAGAGTTGAATGTCAGCCTCATCTGCAAGACACCATGACTCAAAAAGAAAAGAGAAAAGAAATTAGTTGAGGCTGTTAATAGCTATAATTCTGTCAATACACCAAAGAATGCCCATGCCTTTATGTCTCTCTTGCTTTTGAATGGATGATATCTAAGTGTATGATTTATCTGATTATGAAATTAGTATACTAACAAAAATCTTGCTTATACTTGGTGAAAATTCATTAGGAGGCCAATATCAATTCAAACAAATATGTATGGAACAAGTTAACAAATAAGACCAGAATTATAGTTTGCATGTTGAGCCCATGGAAAACAACTCACCTGAGAAACACCTAAAACGGTCTCCACATCCCTCCTCAGCTGGGCAGCCTAGTTCAGGATTGCAGGATTGTGTTTGGAAAGCACTTCCCACGCATGGGTTGCCTCCGTATTGCCCATAAACAGCAATCAAACGCCTTCGAGTCTGGAAACAAAGCAAAAGATCTCTTTGTATTTTATATGGTGGTTATCGCAGGTTTTCTTGAGTAATAAAATCCAAGAACTAATTCAATTTGAGAAACACTCTGACGAGGAACAGAAGCAAAACCCACAAAATCAATGAGTCTGCAGGTTTGATGGCAGTTAGATTGCTATCTACACAAAGCTTCAAACCATTTATTTATTTTCACTATGGGGTGAGGGTCAAAAAAACTTTCTGATGACTCTTTGGAAATGCAACTTGAAAGAATAAATACATTACAATACAGAATACTTAACATTTTGGCCAGAATATTCTGGGAGTTAAGCAGGAAAAAAAATAATAAAATGCATTTTGTTGGAGGAAAGGGCAGGAAAGGTTATGGGAAATGAAGTGAAGTTAGCAGAACAGTGATGATACACACCTTTAATTACAACACCTTGGCGGCAGAGGCAGGCAGATCTCTATGAAACCATGTCTGGAGGATGTAGGGATGAAGGGAAGAAACCCTTAATAAACACAAGAAGTGACTGACTTGAGCTGGGCCTTCCAGGAAAAAAAAAATGAGACAAGGGGGGGAAAAAACCCAGAGAGAAATGTATTGATAGAGAGGCCAAGTGTGCAAAATAACCATGAACAATCCAAATGTTAAGGGATGTTAACGAGATTTTACTAGCTGATGGAGAATTGAGCTCTGAGAGGGAAATGTATTGAAAGCAGACCTCTTTTGGAAAAGAAGAAAATGGAAAAGGTTACTGCATTAAGTGAAAAATTCCTAAGTCATCCTAAATTTCACTTGGTCCACATTAAGTATGGAGCCATGCATCAAATGCTTAAATAAACTGAAGATCTGCACCATCATCTCTCTTGGCTAGTGGCCTCGTCTTGTACTTGTCCCTTTGCCGTCTAGTTTTTGTCAACTTGCACTAGAGTTATCTGAAGGGTGGGAACATCAATTAAGAAAATGTGTCCATAATTTCCAGCTATGGGGCATTTTCTTAATAAGTTGTTGATAGGGGAGGTCCCAGCCCATTGTGGGTGATGCTATCCCTGGGCTTGTGGTCTTGGGTTCTATAAAAAAGCAGGCTGAGAAGGCCAATGTGAAAAACTCTTCCATGGGCTCTGCATCAGCTCCTGCCTCTAGGTTTCTGCCCTGTTGAGTTCCTTCCCTCTCTACTTTTGATGATAAACTGTTATATGGTATTGTGAGTGAAATAAACCCTTTCCTTCCAAAGTTGGTTTTAGTCATGATGTTTGACAGCAATAGCAACCCTAACTAAAATAACCTGAGTCATAATTATCAGGGAAGAATAAGTATATAACCCAAATTTAAATGTGTTCATCCATTTTACATTGGGTTGGAAGTGGGTACCATCTGGGTCAAGTGGTCACACTGTGTAATTTGACTTCTTTGTAAATACAAGTTGTGTTACAGTTTTAAAACAAGGCATTTAGCCAAATGGTGGTGGCACACGCCTTTAATCCCAGCACTTAGGAGACAGAGGCAGTTGGATTTCTGTGAGTTCGAGACCATCCTGGTCTACAAGAGCTAGTTCCAGGACAGGCTCCAAAACTACAGAGAAACTCTGTCTCATAAAACCAAAATAAATAAATAAATGTAGGAGAATGCAAAGAGATTCATATCTATCCCCCTGCCCAAAACTCAAGTCCAAGTGGATCAAAGACCTTGACATAAAACAGATACTGAACCTAACAGAAGAGACAGTAGGGACTAGCCTCTCACTCACTGGCACAGGAAATTATTTTCTGGATAGAACACCAATAACACAGATGCTAAGACAAATAACTAATTACTGGGACCTCATGAGACTGTAAAGCTCTGTAAGACAAAGGAATCATCAATAGGAAAAAATGGCAGCCTTCAGAATGGGAAAAGATTTTCACCAACCCCACATTGTCAGAGGGCTAATTTCCAAAGTGTATAAAGAACTCAAGAAACTAAACATCATAAACCTAACAATTCAACTAAAAATGGGGGTACAGATAATAAACAGAGAATTCTTAACAAAAGAACCTCAAATGGCTGAGACACAAAGAAATGTTCAAAAAATCCTTGGCCATCAGGTAAACACAAATCAAAATGATTTTGAGACCTCATCTTATACCTGTCAGAATGGCTAAGATCAATAACACAAGTCACAGCTCATGCTGTCAAGGATGTGGAGCAAGGGGAACATTCCTCCACTGCTGGTGGGAGTGCAAACCTGTGAAGCCACTTTGGAAATCAGTGTTGCAGCTTCTCAGAAAACTGGGAATCACTTTACTGCAAGACCCAGCTATACCATACCTGGACATATACCCAAAGGATGTTCCATCCTATCACAAGGATCATGGCTCAACTATGGTCCGAGCAGATTTATTCATAATAGGCAGAAACTGGAAACCACCTAGATGTCCCTCAACTGAAGAACAGATAAAGAAAATGTAGTACATTTACACAATTTACTCAACTGTTAAAAGTAACAGCAAGAAATTTGCAGGCAAATGGATGGAACTGAAGAAAGATTATCCTGAGTGAGGTAACCCAAACCAAGAAAGACAAACATGGTGTGTGCTCACTTCTAAGTGGTTATTAGCTGTGAAGTACAGAACTAAGCTACAATCTACAGACCCAGAGAAGCTAAGTAACAGGGAGGGCTCTGGGGGGGGGAGGTGCATGAGCCTGGGAAGGGGAAATAGAATAGATTTCATAAGTGCACTAGGGGCAGCAGGAATGGGAACAGGAGATCAGGTTGGGGAGTTGGGGAAGAGTGTACTGGAATATATAACTGGAATTGGGGGGGGGCATTTCAGGGTCAAGGTAGAAACCTAGTGCAAAAGAAACTTCCCAGAATCTAAGAGAGTAACACTAATTAAGACTCCTAATAATGAGGTTACCAAGACTGAAGTGGCCATCTTTTATAACCAAGCAAGATTTCCAATGGAGGGATTGGGATACCAACCCAGTCACAAAACATTCAAACTACAGTTGGTTCAGTGGCAAGATATGGGAGCAAGTGTGTATCTGACTCTTTTGCCTGCTCTAGAGACTCTCCCTCCTATTGGGTTGCCTTATCCACCCTTGATAGGAGGGCTTTTGCCTTGCCTTATTGTATCCCATTTTTGTTGTGTTCACTTGTTATCTCTTGGAGGCCTGCCATTTTCTGAAGGGAAATGAAGGGAGAGTCGATCTGGGGGTGAAAGTTTGCAGGGAGCTGGGAGGAGTGATGTAAGGACAAACTATATTCCAGATGTATTATATGATAGAAGAATCTATTGTTAATTAAAAAATCACTTCAAAGAATGGTTATAATGGTATTTAAAAACTATAAGCAGTATTGAAATTACAGTAGTCATGAATGACTACTAAATAAAATAAAGACGATACGCATACAGAGAGAAAGTGGCTGGAAGACAAAATAGCAAAACAGTAGTATATTTGTCTCTTCTAAACAGCAGAATTATGAGTACTGTTTTTTTTAATAACTTAACTTTATTTTATGTGCATTGGTAAGAAGATATCAGGTCTCCTGGAACTTGAGTTATAGATAGTAAGCTGTCATGTGGGTGCTGGGAATTGAACCCTGATCCTCTGGAAGAGCAGCCAGTGCTCTTAACTGCTGAGCCATCTCTCCAGCTGCCAGAGTGCTGTTATCTTTCATTATACATTTCGGTATTTTTATCAATGAATGTGTTATAAAGAAAAATACATTTTTACAAGTATTGTGCAATATCCAAATCATGTCAAGTGCTTCATTTTATATTATTACATAGGAAATAAATTTAAAACATTGAAGATTTATTCATTTTTTATCCCTATTTGTGAAGTAAAATGAAGCATTCATTTCACTGTTTGCTGGTATTTTAAATGGGAGGAAAAGTTGAAAATGGTGAACAAAACACGGAATTTAAACACAGATTTTAACTTCTATGCTATTCCTGTCTGTTTAATAACAGACAATGATTTACCCTAAACCTCCAGCCTGTGTTCTAAAAAAAAATTCAAGAAAAATATAGACATCACAGTATAACAGTATTGCAAACAAGTTCTCATTTCTTCCTGGGAAATTACTAAAATAAGTTTCAAAATACATAAACACTAATAGATGACCATTCAAAAGTTGACTATGTTGTGTTCATACCTTCACATAGCAATAACCGACTCAAATGTTCTGTAGGAGCCTACCTGTGTCCTGGTACAACCATTGCATTCAGACCAAGGGCCATAGGAGTCCCACTGACAGTTCACTGGAGAAGAGGCTCTGTCATGGCACCAGATTTCCCATCATAAAGCATGTGGGATGATAAGCAAGAGAACACAATGAACAAGTAAGAATAGTCAAAAGTCATCAAAAGCACCTGACCTTGAGACAATGTTAATCATCTGTAATCCAGCTTCCTCCTCCCAAATTTTTGGAATGGGCAGGTAGAGGCAAGAGGATCAGAAGTTCAAGGTCTTGCTCAGCTTACAATGAGTTTGAGGACAACCTGAGCTGCATGAAAGCCAGTCTCAAAATAAATAAATAAATAAAAATAAAAAAGACAACAAAAATGTGCTTTAAGATGCAGAATGTATTCACATGAAAATGTCACCGTGATGCACAGTTTATATATTTATTATAGGTTGGGTAAAAAGAAATACCTTCAAAAATTTCAAAGAGGTATTAAAGGTATGCTAAAATAAATGAAAGTGAGAAGAAGTACCCATTTTTACCAGAGTCTAATTTTTATTAAATATCTATTTTGTACAAAGTACTGTAAGCATAAGGACACATAATTTTCTAATCATCACACATTATATCTACTGTGATAAATTTCATAACAGTATTTGTACTGGCTATTTGTATGTAAATTTGACACAAGCTAGAATTATCAGAGAGGTGGGAGCCTCAACTGAGAAAATGCCTCCATAAATGGATCAAGCTCTAGGCAAGCGCAGAGAGAATTTTCTTAATTAATGATCAATGATAAAGGGAGGGACCAATCCATTGTGGGTGGTGCCATTCCTGGTCTGGTCTCCCTGGGTTCTATAAGAAAGCAGATTGAGCAAGCCACAATGAGCACGCCAGTAAGCAGCTCCCCTTTGCATCAGCTCCTGTCTCCAGCTTCTTGCCCAGCTTGAGTTCCTGTCCTAACTTCCTTCGATAATGAACTGTGATATGGAAGTGTAAGCTGAATAAACCCTTTTCTCTCCAAGTTGCTTTGGCTATGATGTTTCATCACAAAAATAGTAACCCTGACCAAGGCAATGTTTACATAAAGTTAGATATGGGAATATAAATAAAGGAGTAGTCAAAGATAAGGGAGTATGTGAGAATATTTGGGAGAAAGGTATGGGGCCTTTGAAGAAACTATCCAGAAACTGGGGAGAAAAGTTCTAAGAATAGTAGAAAAATGCTAGCAAGGGCTATATGACAGCAATTTATGTTCAAAGGTGCCCCACATTCACTCAGGCTCCTTCTTAAGTACACATACAGGTAAAAAAAAAAAATTAGTTTAAGCAATTTCACCCATCTCAAGCATATGTGGGTGGTAAAGCTGCTCTCACATGGCTAAACACTGGCTGTAGAAGACACCTGGATTAGTTCTCAAAGGTCAATGAAGACTTCTAAAAAGATCACAGGATTGGGGATCTTGATTTGTGTGCTTGTGGTAGAATATTACTTTAAGGTAAGTGACTTTTGTTCATGCTGCATTTGTTTAACTCTGTGAATCCGTATTACTATGCCTGTCTAAAAGTCCTGGTGGCCCTAATAAAGTGCTGAATAGCCAATAGCAAAGCAGGAGCAAGGATAGGCAGGGCTGGAAGGCAGAAAGCATAAATAGAAAAAGAAATGAGGAAAAGAGAAGCAATGAGAGAACAAGGAGAGGAGGATGTCAGGGGCCAGACACCCAGACACCCAGACAGACACCCAGACACCCAGACACCCAGACCCAAGACACCCAGAGACACCCAGACACCCAGACACCCAGACGACACCCAGATGACACCCAGACACCCAGACACCCAGACCCAAGACACCCAGATGACACCCAGACACCCAGACACCCAGACGACACCCAGACGACACCCAGACACCCAGACACCCAGACCCAAGACACCCAGAGACACCCAGACACCCAGACATCCAGAGACACCCAGATGACACCCAGACACCCAGACACCCAGAGACACCCAGACGACACCCAGACACCCAGACACCCAGATACCCAGACACCCAGACACCCAGACACTCAGACACCCAGACACCCAGAGACACCCAGACCCCAGACACCCAGACACACCCAGACACCCAGACACCCAGACACCCAGACATCCAGACACCCAGACAGATACCCAGACACCCAGACAACACCCAGACACCCAGACAGACACCCAGACACCCAGACGACACCCAGACACCCAGATACCCAGAAAGCCAGCCAGCCACAGAGTAAGAAGGAAAGGAAGATATACAGAGGTAAGAAAGATAAAAACCCAGAGGGAAAAGGTAGAAAGGTTAATTTAAGAAAAGAAAAGCTGTCTAGTAGACACATGGGGGAGGGCCTAGGCCCTGCTCCAAATGATGTGACAGACTTTGAAGACTCCCAATGGAAGACCTCACCCTCCCTGGGGAGCAGAAAGGGGATGGGCTGGGGTTTGGTGGGGGTGATAAGGGAGGATGGGAGGGTGAGGGAACTGGGATTAACATGAAAAACAACCTTGTTTAAGGCCAGGCATTTATAACTAAAAATAGGCCTCAGAGAGCGATTACTTTGGGAGCTGGGTGGTGGGCCCCTCATAAAGACCTAAAGAGCAAAGAACCCAAAAGAGCAAAAGCATCACACAACATGGCACATTACTGGGCTGGGAGACTTCTTGAGTCCAGATGACTCTTGAATCCTATAGCCATCAGATGATGCTAAAAGTAATGAATCCCATTCTGTAGTATGCATAGTAACCTTGAGCCAAATGTCTAAATGTTAGAGACAGCCTCTGAATTTACTTTTGTTTGCCTGTCTGTGCCACAGAGGACAACAGAGGCTTTCCCCAAGTATGGCCCCACAGGATGGACACTGTGTAGCCTTCTCCCCTGTCTTATACTGCTGGCCGCAGGACCCTGGTCACCAGTGGGCTCTACATGCTGTCTCATTCTTTGTGTCCAGGCCTGGTTCCATCAATCTGATAATGCAAAATAAAAGCAAAGGACTGGGTAAATGGTGATGGCTTTTACCAGCCTTCAGGAACCAAGAAAACTATTTTCTTAAAAAACAAATCTGTTGACCTTTAAAATCCAGAGAATGTTTTCAAGGACTAAAATTAAAGATTAAATATTACTCTGGGTTGGCTGCAGCTCTCTGAATTAAGGTAAAACCTTGGAACTGGACCGAAGAACCATGAGACATTTTTGTCCTTGTTTCTTCTTCAAAAGAAAAATAAAAAGAACAAAACATAATTATCATGTTTTCTAGAATCATGGAAAGATGAGGTATATAAACACATTCAATATACTATATAAAAGTTAACCCATACTAAGGAATTTACTATTTCCAACATTTTTAAAATTTCCATACAAAACCTGAAACATTCTTACCTTAGGAAGATTTGAAACTCTGCCATAAATCCCACCAAAAAGAATAAGCTCATTGCCTAGGATGGAAAACAATGAAATATTACTTTAGCTTTCATTTCCTAAATGAGTTAAAAAATGAATACATCCACTTAAGTATAGATTTGTGGGTTGGGAGAATATGAGTCAAAAAACCATATAAAAATAAATGGCTTTTCTTTTTGAGATTGTATTTTAAATAGAAGCTTGAAGATTCTTCCAAAAAAAAAAAAAAAAAAAAAAAAAAAAAAACCTTAAAAATAGAGCTACCGGCCTATCTCTGCGGGTCCACTTGGAGTTCCTGCAGGCAAGATCCTTGACCCACAAATCCGGGCCCCTGCCAAAGAACAAGGTCTCAGCTGGAGAGCGCCAGTTTCCAGTGAGATCCCACTACCCTGCAAAACCTTCTCAAGTTCCAGTCCAGCCCTCGTCCTCTTCTGCCGGCTATTGGCCAGAGAGAAGCCTCCTAGAGAGCTTGGACCACACAGAGATACAGACATTGAATCTTTGATCCACATAAGCCCATCTGGGAAGGACCATAGAGAGAGGGAAGAGACACCACCAACACCTACAGGAAGAAACTATGGGAAGAAGGCAATACAAGAGAACACCTAACAACAGAAAGACAAACATGACACCACCAGAATCTAGGGAATCTACACCAACTAGAATGGAACACAACAACAAATCAGAGGAAGCAGAAGGGTACGACTTAAAAATCACCATCATAAAAATGATAGAGGCCCTCAAAGAAGATATGAGAAAATCCCTTAAAGAAATAGAGGAAAAAACAAACAAAAAAGTGGAAGAAATGAACAAATTCCTTAAGGAAAGTACAGAAAGCCAAGAAAAAACAATTAACCAGGTGAAGGAAACGGTTCAAGATTTGAAAACCGAAATTGAGAAAATAAAGGCAACACAAATGGAAGGAAAGCTGGAAATTGAAAAGCTGGGCAAAAAATCGGAAACCACGGACACAAGCATAACCAACAGAATTCAAGAGATGGAAGAGAGAATCTCAGGCGCAGAAGATAAACTAGAAGAAATAGATTCATCGACCAAAGAAAACCATAAATCCAACAAATCCTTAACACACACTATCCAGGAAATGTGGGACACCATGAAAAGGCCAAACCTAAGAATAATAGGCATAGAGGAAGGTGAGGAAGCCCAGCTCAAAGGTGCTGAAAACATATTCAACAAAATCATCGAGGAAAACTTTCCAAATCTGAAGAAGGACATGCCCATGAAAGTACAAGAAGCATACCGAACCCCAAATAGGCTGGACCAAAGAAAAAAAGACCCCTCGACATATAATAATCAAAACACCTAGCATACAGAATAAAGAAAAAATATTAAGAGCAGCGAAGGAAAAAGGACAGGTAACATATAAAGGCAGACCTATCAAAATTACACCTGACTTCTCCATGGAAACCCTCAAGGCCAGAAGGTCCTGGATAGATGTTCTAAAAGTATTAAGAGAACACGGATGCCAGCCTAGGCTACTATATCCAGCAAAACTCTCAGTCAATATAGATGGAGAGAATAAGATATTCAATGACAAAACCAGATTTTCCCAATATGTATCTACAAATCCAGCCCTACAGAAAGTATTGGAAGGAAAATTCCAACCCAAGGAAGGTAACTACGCCCACAAAAATGTAGGCAACAGATAATCCAACTACACCAGAAACCTAGGGTGAAGCAGAACAAATATATTCACAATACCACTGCCAACAACAAACCTAAATCAAACAACCATCAACAATCAATGGTCCTTACTCACCCTCAACATTAATGGTCTTAACTCACCTATAAAAAGACACAGATTAACAGAATGGATACGAAGACAGAATCCATCCTTCTGCTGCATACAAGAAACACATCTTAGCTCCAAAGATAGACATTACCTCAGGGTAAAGGGTTGGGAAAAGATTTTCCAATCAAACGGAAATAAGAAGCAAGCAGGCGTAGCTATCCTAATATCTAACAAGCTAGACTTCAAACCAAAACTAGTCAAAAGAGATGAAGACGGTCATTTCATATTCATATCAGGAGAAATCCATCAACACAAAGTCTCAATTCTGAACATCTATGCCCCTAATACAAAGCCACCCACATTCGTAAAAGAAACACTACTAAAACTCAAAGCTCATATAAAACCTCACACACTTATAGTGGGAGACTTCAATACACCACTCTCAACACTAGACAGGACCACAAATCAGAAACTCAACAAAGAAACAAAAGAATTAACAGAAGTTATGTCTCAACTGGGGCTAACAGACATCTATAGAACATTCCATCCAAAGACAAAAGAATATACCTTCTTCTCTGCTCCACATGGAACCTTCTCTAAAATCGACCACATACTAGGAGACATAACAAACCTCAACAGATACAAGAGAATAGAAATAGTCCCCTGTATCTTATCGGACCACCATGCTTTAAAATTGGAATTCAACAACAATACAAATAGCAGAAAACCTGCAAACTCATGGAAACTTAACAATGTGCAATTGCACCACTCCTGGGTCAAAGAAGAAATAAAGAAAGAAATTAAAGACTTTCTAATATTCAACGAGAATGAGGATACAACATACCCGAACTTATGGGACACCTTGAAAGCAGTGCTACGAGGGAAGTTCATTGCACTAAGTGCCCATATGAAGAAAACAGAGGATAGTCACATAAATGAATTAACAGCGCAACTGCAAACCTTAGAACAGAGAGAAGCGAATTCACCCGCAGGAGCAGACACCAGGAAATAATCAACTTGAGGGCTGAAATCAACAAAATAGAAACCAGGAAAACAATACAAAAAATCAATGCAACAAAGAGTTGGTTTTTTGAGAAAATCAACAAGATTGATAAACCTTTATCCAAATTAACGAAAAAGCAGAGACAGAACATGCAAATTAACAAAATCAGAAACGAAATGGGGAACATAACAACAGACACAGAGGAAATCCAGACAATTTTCAGGTCATACTTCAAAATCTGTATTCCACAAAAATTGAAAATTCAAAGGAAATGGACAAGTTTCTGGATAACTATCACTTACCAAAATTAAATCAAGAACAGACAAACAACTTAAATAGACCTATAACCCGAAATGAAATAGAAGCAGTCATCGAAAGCCTTCCAACGAAAAAAAGTCCAGGGCCAGATGGATTCAGTGCAGAATTCTACCAGACATTCAAGGAAGAACTAATACCATTACTCCTCAAACTGTTCCACAAGATAGAAACAGAAGGTTTATTGCCAATCTCTTTTTATGAGGCCACAATAACTTTGGTACCCAAACCTCACAAAGACACAACTAAGAAAGAGAACTACAGACCAATATCCCTGATGAACATCGATGCAAAAATACTCAATAAAATAATGGCAAACCGAATTCAAAAATACATCAGAGAAATCATCCACCATGATCAAGTAGGCTTCATACCTGGATTGCAGGGATGGTTTAACATACGAAAATCTATCAACGTGATCCACCATATAAACAAACTGAAAAAGAAAAACCATATGATTATCTCCCTAGATGCAGAAAAAGCCTTCGATAAAATTCAACACCCTTTCATGATAAAGGTATTAGAGAGGTCAGGGATAACAGGAACATACCTAAACATAATAAGAGCAATATACAGCAAACCAACTGCCAACATCAAACTGAATGGAGAGAAACTTAAGCCAATTCCTCTAAAATCAGGAACAAGACAAGGCTGTCCTCTCTCTCCATATCTCTTCAATATCGTACTAGAAGTTCTAGCTAATGCTATAAGACAACAAAAGGAGATCAAGGGCATCCAAATTGGAAAGGAAGAAGTCAAACTGTCTCTATTTGCAGATGATATGATAGTTTACATAAGCGACCCAATAAACTCTACCAGGGAACTCCTACAGCTGATAAACACCTTCAGCAAACTAGCAGGATACAAGATAAACTCAAAAAAATCAGTAGCCCTATTTTTTTCAGACGACAAAGAGGCAGAGAAAGAAATCAGAGAAACATCACCCTTTACAATAGCCACAAGCAACATAAAGTATCTTGGTGTAACGCTTACCAAACAAGTAAAAGATCTATATAATAAGAACTTTGTGACTCTAAAGAAAGAAATTAAAGAAGATACCAGAAAATGGAAAGACCTCCCATGCTCTTGGATAGGTAGGATAAACATAGTAAAAATGGCAATCTTACCAAAAGCAATCTACAGATTCAATGCAATCCCCATTAAAATCCCACCACAATTCTTCACCGACCTTGAAAGGATAATAATCAACTTTATATGGAAAAACAAAAGACCCAGGATAGCCAAAACAACCCTATACAATAAAAGAACATCAGGAGGCATCACCATTCCTGACTTTAAGCTCTACTACAGAGCTATAGTTCTGAAAACAGCCTGGTATTGGCATAAAAATAGACAGGTAGACCAAGGAATCGAATTGAAAACCCTGATATTAATCCACGCACCTATGAACACCTGATTTTCGACAAAACAGCTAAAATTATACAATGGGGCAAAGATGGCATCTTCAACAAATGGTGCTGGCACAATTGGATGAGGGTGTGTAGAAGACTGCAGATAGACCCATGTCTGTCGCCATGCACAAAACTCAAGTCCAAATGGATCAAAGACCTCAACATCAATCCAGCCACATTGAACCTCTTAGAAGAGAAAGTAGGAGGTACCCTTGAACAAATTGGTATAGGAGACCGCTTCTTGAACATAACTCCAGGGGCACAGACACTGAAAGAAACAATTAATAAATGGGACCTCTTCAAACTTAGAAGCTTCTGTAAGGCAAAGGACACAGTTGACAAGACCAAACGGCAGCCCACTGACTGGGAAAAGATTTTCACTAATCCTATATCCGACAAAGGGCTGATCTCCAAAATATACAAAGAACTCAAGAAACTAGTCAACAAAACACCAAATAACCCTATTAAAAAATGGGGTACAGAACTGAAGAAAGAATTCTCAATGGAGGAAATCAAAAAGGCTGAAAGACACTTAAGAAAATGCTCCACATC